TTTCTCATTTTCTCATCCTGTTTTGGTTTCAGCAACTTTTCAAGTTGTTGTCTTGTCAGTAACTTGAATTTTAACTTTGGATCAAATATTGGGTTTCCATCTTTATCTCTTCCAATAACACCATATGGTAGAATCTTCATTTATACTAAAATAAAAATTTAAATTATACCGTTCACTCATCTGGAGCTCCTAAAGTTTGTTTCACAAACATTGAGCGTTCATTGAACTCTATACCATGCGAATACAGTCATAAATGGTGGCATGTATTCTTTACTTTGTCCTGTTGTTTGTGTATATCCTGAAACGAAATGTGTATGGTTTCCTTCTCCCTGAGTGTCACTCCAGTAACAATTTATAGCAAACTTAACGTCATCTTTAACATCATATCCTTTACCTTTTGTCATTCCTGACCAATCCCAATATCTATGCTTATGCCAACCAGCTTGAGATGTGCTTAAATCTATGTAGTGACTATGTGCAGGTAAATTTTCACCTGAAATCGTTTTACTTCCACCTGTTTCCTTTGAAGAGTTTGCACAATACAAAAACCTGTCGACTATTTGTTCCCATGCACCAACACCAAACATTACTTGAGGACCTCTTGCATCCATAGATGTATAAATAGAACCTACTGGGTTCATTAAATCAAACATATGAGATATTATAGGATTGTCTCTTTTGAACTTAAAATATAGTGCAACTATTTCAGGTTTCTTCTGATTTGTGTTAGAATATTTTTTATAATATAATCTTATGTTTTCAGGGTAGGTAAAATCTTGACTATAATATTTATTTCTGTCATCTGTATAATAATATACTATTCTCGTTTTTTCTATTGCATTATATCTTTTATATCTATAATAATCTAAATATAATGTTAGCTTTTGTTCATCTACATGTGGTGTTCTGACATCATCTCCATAGTCATAATAATATGGTGCTGGAGCTGGGTCAGGCAATGTCATATCTGCCATTTCATAAACTCTTAAATATTTCTTTTGTTCGTCTCCATATAAGTTTAAGTAGCAGTTGTTGTTTAATGGAACTTTAACTTGTGTGCCATCATTCTTTTTATAGCTTACATACATTTCATTGTTATTTTTCGGAATGAGTTTACACCGTGTACCATTTTTTAAGGACTGTACAAACTGCCATCTAAAATATTTATTTTCTTCATTGACAGAAAAGTCACCAACAATAGTTTCAATATTTTTTGTTGTTCCTATCAAACTTTGGTATATTTCATCCACATATTCCTTATCTGCCTTCTTCATTAACTCACTAGCCACATATTCCTTATCTGCTTTCTTCTCTAACTCATCGTTAACATAAGTTTTATCCGCTTTAAGGTCTAAACATCCTGAAACCCATCCTGTATCAGCTTTAGTTTTAAAAATCTTCGATGTCCATTCATGATACCATTCAACCCTTTCTTTAATTTCATTATCTTTTTCATCCACATATTCCTTATCTGCCTTCTTCATTAACTCACTAGCCACATATTCCTTATCTGCTTTCTTCTCTAACTCATCGTTAACATAAGTTTTATCCGCTTTAAGGTCTAAACATCCTGAAACCCATCCTGTATCAGCTTTAGTTTTAAAAATCTTCGATGTCCATTCATGATACCATTCAACCCTTTCTTTAATTTCATTATCTTTTTCATCCACATATTCCTTATCTGCCTTCTTCATTAACTCACTAGCCACATATTCCTTATCTGCTTTCTTCATTATGTCGTTTAGGAAACCTTTTATGAATTCCTCATTTAAATTAAATCTTCCAATCTTCAAAACTTTAGGAAATGCATTTAATGCGTAATATCTTTGTTCTTCTGGTGGAATTGATGTTATATCATCCGTTATACCTTTAATTTTAGAATTCATAAATAAAATTTCTTTTATATAGGGTGTCCAAAGGTGTGTTTAGCACAAACCTGAATACTGCGAATAGAAATAAACAAGTTACATATATATAAAGTTTATTTAAATATAATCACCATTGGATTCAATCACGCGTTCGCAGCGATCGATCCAGGCTTGAAAGACACGCTTTAAATCATCATGAGAAAATTGCTCAAATTGCTCTCTTACAAAATTTTCAAGATCATCTGGACTCGCGAATTCGCGTCCTTCAGCTCTCTTTTTTAGCGTGCCGAATAAATAAAAGTCAGAGGGTGCAATATCAGGTGAATAAATTGGGTTTGGAACAACTTTGACATTGTTTTCCAACAAGTAATTCATTACCTTATGACTTTTGTGAACTCTTGAATTATCAAAATGAATTGCAAACTTTTGTTTTTGTTGTTTGGATTTCTCAAACTCATCAGAATTGATAATTTGAGTAAGAACATTGTCAATTAGATACTGAGCATTCATCGTATTAGGTTTTTGAAGAATATCAATTGCGATGATGCCATTCACGCCCCAAAAAACCGACAACATAATCATTGGTGTGTCAATTTTTTTCTTCGGGAATGTTTGCGGATTTTCATCCTTCGGGATCCACATGATTTTGGCTTCTGTTGCATATTGAAACCAAGACTCGTCCCCTGTTACTAAAAAAGCGAAACTTCTTGGATTGATACGCACCCAATATAGAGAGGAGCTCTTTCGAAGATTGGACTCTAGATTTTTTTTGAACTGAATTAAGGTTGTGCGGAACCCAACGTGTATACGCTAGTTTGTAGTTCAAATAATTGTGCAGATAATAACTGACTGTTGTACGTGGTATCTTTGTCATCTCCTCTATCCTTCTGAGTGATGCTCTTGGGTCTTCATCTAGCGCTTGAAGAATTGCTTTGATTTTTCTTTGATCCGGCGATTTTTTGTCAATTTTTATGATGGGCGCCTTTTTGTTCATGAAGTGATACATCCTAACATGATACGTTACAGTGGAATAGCTAGGAGCATCCATACCGAAGCATTTTACCAATGTCTCGTAGATTTTTTTACAGTCTTTGCATTTTTTTGCAAGAGCGAGGATGTTTTCTTTATGATTCATTAAAAAAATGAAAAAAAATCCCGCCAAAATTTCCCGCGAAACCGCCTCTTGTCTCAAAATTCATTTTATATACCGGCATGGCGCCAAAATACAACATACTCATCATATACATATATTCATATTTTTTATTATATATTTATAATCAGCATATATCTCCTTTAATAGTCTCATATAGAGCGCTGTGCTAAACGCACCTTTGGACACCCTATATTTGATATCACTGCACCACCTTTGCAAACGAATTCGAAATGGTCATTTTTCAATACTATCTCCAAATCTCCATATTTCAACCTTTGCGTTTGTTCTGCCGTCTTTGAATTATATGCATATATGGCGTATGTAATGGTTTGAAGGACCTGGGTGCTTTGCGCCTTAAGTTGCTGTGGTTGCTGTTGTTTAATCATTTATTATGATTTAAAAATAAATATTTAATCCATTATCTCATCAGCTATTTTTTCTATTTGAAATTGCCATAATATTTCATTCATAAATTCTAAATCACAATCAAATAGGTCAGTTATTCTAAATTTAATATTTGATAAATCTTTTGAATGAAGAATAAATGAATTCCCGGATAATTGAAACGGATATGATAAAGAAAATGTGTTTAAGTTGATGGATAAAATGTTTTGTATTGATGGGTAAGAGTTAGGGTCTAATGTTTGATGTGAAAATCTCATTGGGGTATTAACTTTATCACATTTGATTAAAATGAAATTGGAACCAGTGTCAGAATACAAAACATCCCCAACATCTTTTTCAAAATTTAATATCCCCAACAATGAACGAAGGTGAGGAGTACAAAATTTAATTTTCAGCGGGAATAATTAATAAGGTTATTTATTTCATCAAGTTCAAAAAGTTTATCAGGTTTTGATTTAAAATTTTCTTCATACCATACGCATAAATGATTCATTTAAATAACTTAAAATCGTGTTAATATCCCATTTCGCTATCACGTTATTTATATACATATCATACGTTTTTTCAAGGTCATCTTTAATAAATGATATATAATCTGAAGGGTCTAAAGAATGGGATTAAATTTACCACTCACAGAAACGAGAGTAACATTATAAATTCCACTAACTGTTAAATTTAATTCACACACTATTATTCGAAATAATATTGATAATTGACATTTTTTTAATGATTAAAAATATAGTAAAGCGTTATTTTCCAGTGATAAATAAAACTAGAATAAGATTACCTCAAGAATTCATAAATTCAACGAATAAGAAATTCATTCATGTTTATAAATTTTAGTGTTTTCAGAAAAATATGAGTCGATGTCATATTCATCATCAGGTTATATTTCACTTCATTCAAATTTAGTTCAATCAAACCCATATAATGACCATTTCATAAGATTTTCAGATGGTATTAAAAATGCAATTGATAGATTAAAATATGAACAGATTGACAATATCGAATTTTTGGAATTTTGGTTTAAATATCCTGATGGAAAAAAGATTGAAGTTAAAGATAAAGCTGATACTATAACAAAAACAATTACAATGACCGATCCGGATAGTGGGAACAAAAAGAAATAAAACAAACGATAGAAACTGGTGAAAGGTCAATTATTATTGATTATGATTCAAAGGATTATTATTCGTTAATGTTAATGCTTGAATATTAAATAGCCTTAACAAAGAATTTTTCAAGTGATATTTTATATTCATCAACTATTTTATTATAAATATCATTATATGTTAAATGAAGTTCAGTTGTTGTTCCATTCTTTGATATCTTAATTGTGCTAATATCCTTTATAGGATTTATTTTTGCAACTATTCCGCAGCATGAAACCTCATCATCTATGAAAAATTGAATCTTAACGTCTGAATCTTGAACATCACAAAGAATGGCGATAATGTGAATTAATGATTCATAAGGTAAAATAATTAAACCAGATTGATCAATTAAATTTATTATTGAATCATAATTATTAATTATTATATCACGGTAAATTTTCATTAATTCAAAATTAATGTCTATTTTATATGGGTTCTCGATGTTTGATGAAAGAGGTGGGGGTATGTTGGATAAGTGGGAATTTCAACGGGTTCTTTACCAGGTTCAGATAAAATGATTGGGTCTCCATTCTCATGGTTTTCTTCATTCTCCTCATTCTTCGGTAAGTCACGAGTTAATAAATTTGGTTGAGTTGCTGACCTTGTTAATTCAGGGCTAACATTAACTTTAACATTTTGAATAATTCGCGATTTATCATCATTTACGTTATAACCAACCGTAATCTCTGCTTTTGCGTTAGTGTTCTTTTGATTAGTGAAACGTCTTCTCATTTATATTCGAATAAAAAAAATATATTTAAACTTTTATTTTGCTGGAACTTTTGAATCTATTATCCCTTGTATTTGTTCATGAAGTTGATTTTTAGCTGTTTCATCGAAATTAATAGACCGAATATATTCATTAATTGCATTCTTATAATCAACTGATTTCTCAAATTTTCTTTTATCTGATTCCTTAACTAAATCATAAGTTAAACCTCGTTGCTGATATAATGGTTTCTTAATTAAATCTTTGAATGCTTGAGATAAAGCACCTGATGCAATTCTTGCTACTATAATTGGTTGGAATTGCTGTTTAAGTTCATCTTTAACATTTGCGAAAACTGGATCGAATAAAGCAACTTTAAAGAATTTCTTAGCTGAAATTTCAGGTCTAATATTTACATATTGGCCATCAAACTGGTTAGAATATCGTGGTAATCCATCCGGTCCCTCTTCAATAGCATTTAATTCTTCATTGAAATAAGAATATGGATTATGACGGTATGAATTAATTGGACCATTTTCACCTTCTCCAATGTATTGTTTAACAGCTTTTCCATTTTCATCAAATTGCATAGGATAACATTCATTATATGCTTTACGTTTAGGATAATCAGATACAGTTAATTTATAACCATTTATGACTTTAATATTACCTTGAACATCAGTAACGAAAACTTCATTTATACCATCAGGTTTTCCATTTGGACCCGTAATGTCTGCTTCGTGTGCTTCCCAATTTGGACCATGACGTTTGGCATATGCTTGAGCTTCCGGTAATGTTAAAACGTTTCTCATTTGTTTAACATCTTTTTGAAGACCAGCAACAATATGAACTAATTCTTTCATTCCATCAGGAACTTTCATGGTTCTATTATATGCACCCCTTTTGTTTGTCCCTTGTTTTAATGGAACTTGTAAAAGATTTGCTATTTCTGTCATGTTTAATTATAAATAAAAAATAAAAATTAATTATAAAAAGTTAATCAAATTTAACACCCCCTTTATTTAAATCAACTATTATTTTTCCATGTTCACCTAATTGCTGATATTGAGTGTAAAGTTCATTAATGCTCATTGGTAAATTCACTTGATAAAGCATAACGTTCAACTGTTGACGACTAAACCCACTGAAAATGAAAAGTGTTGATAGATTTGATTTAATGTTTGTGCTTAATGCTTTGAAATATTGAACAGCAATAAAGAATGAACACTGAATGTGTCGACATTGAGTTAATAACTGATTAAAATATGATTTCTCATTTGTTATTAGTTTTGATTTCACTGCATCATCTAGAAAAATGAGTGAATGCAAAAATTCTTTATCAAAATTTGAAATGGAAAGTGTTTCAAATAATTCATCCCGTTGTTTATCAATAATTTTATTCTCTAATCCTTGCTTCTTGATTGTATTATATAATTCTTTATACATTAAAAAGTTTTTTAAATAATCTTCTGCTTCTTCTTGTGATAAATAAATAATTGGAATTTTGATTAAATGCTTTAAAGATTCAAATGTATCATCTGAAGGTGAACCTGAACGGTTGATATAAATTAACACATGTGAATGGGGGGAAGTGTTAGCAATAATGATAATTTGTTTTAATATCGTTAATGTTTTACCTTTATTCTGTTTACCAATTGCTGCAGTGATTGAATTTAAGTAACATTCAGAATATGGAATTTTCATTAATTTTTCCTTAGATAGAGCATTTCTATTATCACTCAATGCTTCATTAATCATATCATCTACGTATGTATTATATACTCCCGCTAATTCTTCATAAGGGGTGGATGAATTTAAATCCATTTAATCAAAAATAAATTTATAATTTTAAACATTTCTATTCATCAATATTTCATCATATGAACTTCTATACTGTGGTGGTGTACCTGTTGAATGATATTTCAAACCTTCATCCGGTGTCCATGTCCAATATGTAGTCCTAGTAAACCAAACCTGAGGAGGATTTGTCACCTTTGAACAGTAAGTGTCATTTTCACCCTGAATGATTGGATAAGCTTTCACTTGTACTGTAACTTGTGAGTTAAAAGTTTCTAATCCATCAAAGAATATACCCGCTCCATCACGTTGAACTGGAATAGTGCATAAGAATGAAGTTTGGTCTTTCCATGTTCTAGCTAATGGTGTGCCATCATCTGCATTCAGTGGTCTAGTTAATGAGTCCTCGTACTCTTCTGTACATTCATTCACTCCATCTAAATCAGAAGCTTGAAGCATACGTGTAAAGAATATGTCGCCCACTGTGGTCATCGCTTGATCGGGGAAGTTTCTGGAATCTATAGTGACCTGAAGACCTCGAAGCATTGGATTTTCTAAAACCGTTCTTTGCATTGCATTCTTCGGAAATGCTAACACAACATCTGTAACATTATGAAGAGCGTATGAGAAATCTGAGCTAATACCTTCAGGAGTGATGCAACCTCCATTTAGTGAACGAACGTCAATATGTTGAGCTGGAATCATGAATGGATCTTCCTTACTGAATAAACGTGGTATTGCTTTAACTGATTCTTCAATTAAACCGTATCCTGGTGTAATGCATTTATCCTCTAAAAACTTCCATCTTTGTGCATGAAATAATAACGTCATCAACTGTTGCGTCAGCAGATGTAGCGGCTAAGCTTGTAATTAATTTTGCAGGAAGTCCGATTTGTTGGAATTTGCGATCATATTTATAAACATGATTCATAATCTTTTCATAATTTTCATCAATTATCTTTTCATAAACGTAATTTTGTAAATCAGCAACTCTTAACGGGTCAACCTGACAAAATACTAAAGTATCCCTGAAAACATAATATTTAAGAATGATATCACCAAATGATTTAGGATAATCATCGAACGCCTGAAATGCTAACAAATCATTTACCGGAATAATCATATCAAAAGTGATATCAACTTCTTTATTTGCGTTCTTGAAAACTTCTGAAGGGTCAATATATTTACCACATACTGAGTTATCATATTTTTGAACATTATTATATAACGAATGAACAAACTTTTTAACTTTCCTTTCTGATTTCGGTTTATATGTTGCAAATGCGAAAGATTCACGGGCGCAATCCATCTGAAGATAACCAGCATCACCTTTTTCAGTTTCTACTTCTAATTGTTTAAAGCTTTGATTTGATGATTTGTAACCAACGAATAAACGCATGCATTTAAAAGCGGCATCACATGTGAAAGCTTTATTTGAAACTAGAGTTGCTTTAACTTTGCGTTTAATATATGTGTCACCTAATTGGTTCACATCATGAGCCGGGTTTGTAATTCTTAAATGAGTTTGTTTATCATCAAAATATGGAGTATCAGAGTCATAGCATGAACTTTCAAGTTCTCTATAATATCTTCTACCGTCATTCTTTGCGAATATTTCATTTATCTTTTCGAATGAATGAAATACATTTCCATTAATCGGTTTAGTGTTTGGCACTAAATAGTTAGTCGTCATTTATTAATAAATAAAAAAATCAAAATTAAAAGATGGAAATGAATTTTTAATTTTAATGAAATAATCAACTATGGCTGCAGGTATATTTAAGAAACTGTGGGATAGAGTAAAAAGAGGGGCGAGTAAAGTTTGGGAAACATTGAAGAAGGGAGCAAATTGGATATTTAAGAATAAAGAAGCAATTAGTGACGTAGCTGAATCAATAACACCAAAAGCTGCCCCAATAAGAGAAATTTTAAATAAAGGAGAAAAAGTTTATCAAAGACTACAACCGATACTAAGATAAAAATAATATTTATTTATTTTTCCACTATTTACCCCCTATTTTATTAAGTATTCCTTCAGCTATTCCACCAATTGCGTTACCTGCTTGTGCTCCCATCGCCGGATTACCTGCTTTAGTACCTAATACACCACCTATGATAGTTCCTGCCGTTTTCGCTACTGGTGCCAAAAAGTTTGCAACGGGTTTAATAACCTTTTTATAAACCCAACCCGCAGCTTTCTTAATTCCATCCCATAATTTTTTAAAGAATCCTGCCGCCATTTCTGATTTAATATTAATTAAAAAATATATTTCATCACTTATATTCTAATTTTTATTTAATGATAAATGAAACCGGTTTTAAAAATAAATGAAACAGAGGAAGAAATAAATGAGAGTGGAAATGTTCAACAAAAAATAAACGTTGTTAAACCAATTACTGAAATAAAAATTTTTTCATCTATTGAAGAATTTAATGACTATTATGCTAATAATAAAAAATTATTTGAAGAATTGACAACGTGTAAATTGAATAAAATGTTTAAAGTTGATGGATTCAAAATTTCAAAAATAAAGGGGGTGGTTAGTTTGAAATCTATTCCTCAATCAAGAATCACCTCATTAATGAAAATTGATGATTTAACAAAAAGAATAGAAGAGATTGAAGAAAGAATGAATCAAATAATTGATTTCATAACTTCAAATAATCATTAGTTTCTTAAAGTTCTATGTTGAACTCATCAAATTCTTCTTCATCATCATTATCTTTAGCGAGTTTAATTACTCTTTCAATTCTATCTTTTGATAGTCTTGCGTTTAATTTTTTCTGAAGTTTTTCGTTACCAAGTTCTAAAATTTTACATGGATGATATTTAAACCTGTTAAATTCTTTTTCCTCAGTTTTAATCATTAATCTACAAAGAACTTTAGTGAAGTGGTTTTGTTGTTTAAACCATTTATCCTTAATATTTGTTATAAATTCAATATCCGGAATTAATTCCCAAATTTTTGAATTTTCGATTAATTTACCATCAAATGCAAAAGCAATAGGTTTAATATTAAACTTACCTTTATAAAATAAACTTTCTATGCAATCATCAAAATAAACGTCTACTTGTTTAACATGGGTGAGAATTGGTGAAAGTTTATCCATTAATTGATTCACAGTCACGAATCTTGATTCACTCATTTATGTAAGAATAAAAAAAATAAATTATTTTAAAATTAATGTTAATTTTAAATGATTTATAAATAAATATATTTTTTTATTCAATTGTTTAAAAATGATACAATATCACTCGATATTGTATGAATTCTTACGTTTACAAAAAAAGTCACTAAACCCATCATACACTACTACTCAAATTAATTGAAATTCCGATCAAAAAAATTCACAAATTGGATCAAAAAAATCGAATCTCAAGTTAAAAATAAAAAATTTCTACATTTTTATCAAATTTAGATTTTTTTTTCAAATCATGCGAATTGATTGAATAATTGCATATTTTATCCCATGCATCTAGAAGTATGTGTAATATTTTTGCTTTCATCAAGAAATTGTCGAATTTGATCTTAATTTTTTTTGAAAAATATACTTTTAGAAAAAGAAATAGTGATTGAATAGCTGCCCATGCTGTAAAAGGGTTATTTTTACAAGTAAAAAAATGTTATTTTTCGAGCAAGTCGAGGCTTTTTTACCATCTTATTTTTGAAAAATTTACGAAAAATTATATCTGAAAAAACGCTTCATTTTGATATCTTACAATGATAAAATACCAATGTTGCTGGGATATAATAGCTACACCTGGACATCTACTACATTAATGCGTATGACAGGTAAAGTTGATTTCAAAAGTATAGCCTGGAAAGATTACAATAAATCAACGATAATTCAAAAAAATTTCTTATAAGTTAACATAATAAAAATTTAATTTTTATATTGCTTGTATTATACTTAAGTATATAATATATTTAAATCTTAGAATGAAAATTCGGGACGCCCTAGCTATTCAATTTTCCCTTAGGACGCCCATAAACCTCTCAAAAATGTGATGTAAATATCACAATTTTGAGAAATTTACACTAGGACGCCTTAGGACGCCAACCCCCTTTTTTACCACATATCTACATTTCCTATACTATTAATTTGTCCTAGGAAAATGCCATAATATTCAAGTTTACTCAATGTCCGAGAAGAAACATTTATAGTTCTGCTTGATGCAGTTGGTATTTCATGTAGTTTTATGTCCCCGTTTTGGAGTTGACAATCATCGTAGAACTTATAGAACTTTTGATGAAAGTGAAATTTCATTTTGCATTGGAAAAGCTTGAGTTCGGCGCAGGAGTTCAAGAACACAGTTGAAGCGCCATTAATTTAACTCAAAAAGGAAATAGACATCATATAAAAAATACAAACTCCCCATAAAACATAAAAAGGTGCCAATGATAAATGATAACAAAGCGTACGTTTTAAGAGTCAAAGCAGCATCAAGACTCAAAAGTATTCCACAAGAGGAGTACAAAGCTAAATACGTCTTAGACTCAAATACAACAAAGCAAGCACTTCATATTGAGTCAGAATTCATAAGAAACTATAAACCTATACTATCTCAAGCATCTGCTAGCATGCGTGAAGGTAACTACGAAAATGCAATCCATTTATTCACAAACTTGCTCAAAATTAATCCCAACGATTATAACGTACTTATTGATAGAGCAAAATGCTTCCATAAAATGAAGAAATCTAAGCTAGCTTTGAAAGATTTAGACACAATAATGATCAAGGAGCAAAACCATCCTCGCGCTCTCCTTGCAAAAGCAGAAATATTATATGATACCAATGATTTTTCATCGGCGTTGACATTCTTTCAGGCCGGATATGATATCAGAAAGGATATGACTGCATTTGCTGTAGGAATTGAAAAAACTAAAAAGTCAATGGAAACATCGCATTCTCAGACGTTGATTCAGCCAGATCGTCTTCTAGCAAAAGCTACAAAACGCCAAGAAGTACTTGGAGACTTAGAAGTTGATTATCATTTCCTCAATGAATTCGAAACCAATACTCCAACAAATTCCAATATAAGTCAGCAAGTTCAGGAACTCTTATCTTATATCGAACAACAAAATGAGAATTTAATTAATAATTCTTAAATACAATTGTTGTTTCAAACGAATCATATGTATCTCATGATTGCTTTGATGATGAAAATACGAATTTATTTTTACAAATCATAATTTGAAGTTTGTAACTCCAAATTTCCTTAATTTATTAATAAATTGTTTGTATAATAGTTTTACAACCTATAGTATACACAAATCTTTACCCTACAACTACGTTTCATCTTATTTTTTCAAGACTATTTCTATCGATAGGAATTGGTTAAGAATTCATTTAGGTTAACATTAGCTAAAAGCAATCATTTGTATCTAATATTATCATCAAGAGAAAAACTATAACTCCCAAAGTTTTGTAAAGAATCTCGGTTAAATTGGTAAATATAGGTATGAGTTTTTCCGAGATCTGTATTGTCTTTTGCTTCAATATTGAAGAAGAAGTTGAGCTACACCTGAACTATTCATTTGTGCTGAATAATGAAGAGGTGTTTGATTATCATTATCTGGTGAATTTACATCAGCACCCTCTGATAAAAGATATTCCATCAAATTTTCTGCTGCATAGCTATGTGTTGCATAATGTATTGGTGTTTTTCCATTAAGATCCTTTGCATTAATGTCAAATCCAAGGGAAATAAAATATTTACAGAGTTCTATACTGCCTTTATTTGCTGCAATGTGCAGAACTGAAAGTCCTTGTTTATCTAATTGTTTGATATTTGCTCCCTTTGTAACAAGAAGTTCGGTCATTTGTAACAATTTTGATTGTGCGGCAATATGTATTGGGAATTCTCCTTTTCTATTCTTCAAATTAATATTTGCTCCAGCTGAAATAAGATATTCCACTGTTTCAATGCTATTCCTATATACAGCTAAATGGAGAGCCGAATTTCCATCTTTATCTCTTGCCTCTATCTCTGCACCGTTTAAAAGAAGGAATTCTGCAAACTCTTTATGATTTAGAAGAGATACAAAGTGAAAAGGGGTTTTATCTTCTTTATTTTTCGTATCTATTTCTGCACCAATTGAAAGAAGGAATTTTGCTGCATCAACGCTTTTTAATGATGCTTCAGCGCATTTATGAAGAGTTGTATTACCTATTTTATTTCTTATATTTACATTAATTCCTTGTGAAACAAGATATTTCATAATATCGACTCTATTATTCCATGCTGCCCTATGAAATACAGAATCTCCATTCTTATTTGTTACTGTGATATCTGCATGATTGGATATAAGAATATCGAACATTTGTTTGCTCACATAATTGCATGAATTATGAAGAGTTGTTTCGCCATCACTATTTTTTGCATTAATATCCGCACCAAGTGAGATTAAATATTCAACAAGGTCAGGCATGAAGAAAAGAGAAGAATAAACAAAACAATGGTTGAAATTTTGTGTCATATCAAGGTATGCAAAAAATGCTGGAATATTATGATAGAAAGCTAATTCGAATAAATCAACTCTAAGATATATATTTTCATTCAGCAAAAATGTAACAAAATCAATATTATGTGAAATAATTGCAAATGTTAGGCATCTTTGGTTTGGTTTCTTTAGCTTCAAGCATTCGCTCATTATGTCAGGATTTCGGCCCAAAAATGATAATTCAAGGCATACATTAGTAATTTGTGATTTTAACTCTTGATATAGGTATTTAAAGCAACTTACAGCACCGTGATAACAACATAATTCCAATAGCGTTAATCCGTCACGGTAATATGGATATAAATCACTTTCGAAAATTTGATCTACTTCAAAATCAGGTGTTTTCTTTGAGTTTTTCCTGAATCGGTCCGACCTTGAGATGGAGTATCTCTGTCCTTTCATGTCCCTGTTGATCGTATATCCTTCTGGAGAAGGAGCATCTGTCATTGTTCTCTTCATCCAGTCGCCAGTGTTGTCATACCTCGTAGCGAATATCCTTGTTTCTTTTTCTTCAACAAGGAAGTCAAGATCGTACGCACCTGGCCCTGGTACATCATTAGAATCAGATCCAATATATTTAAACGGTCTTTTATAGGTTTAAGTGAAAAATAGCAAAAAAATTAAAAATGATATGTGATTCATTGAAATTTGAAGTCCAGTTAATAAAATACATAACAGTTTAATGATAAACAATAATAATTTGTCTAAACCAAGCTTTCTGCCTGTTTTTAGATAGAATTTGTTAATGAAACTAATCTTTCTTGGGAATTTTCAAGTTCTTTCTGGTATATTTGCAATTTTTCGTTCATTTGCTTCTCTTTCTCTTGAAGGACGATTCTTTCGTTTTGTAATTTTTCCAAATTAAACTTTAATTCTTCTTCCTCTTTATCTGTTTCTTCTTCATCTCTCTGGAGCTTTGCTAATACCTCACTCAACTCCTTTTCCATGTCATCAACTTCTTTCTTCTCTGCTTCAAGTTCTTTATCGATTTTTTCCATTTCTTCTTTCGTTTTCATTTCTTTTTTCAGATTTTCAAGTTCATTTTGTTTCTCTTTGATCTCGGAGTTGAGCTGGTCGGCCTTCTGCTTTGTTTCTTCAGCCTTTTCACTGTCTTCCTTTGAGTTTTTGAGGTTTTCTTTGAGGTAATTAATCGCATCTTCCAAAGATTTCTTTTGTGCATTGAAATCATCAGCAATGCGATTCTCTTCGAGTTCTAACATTTTTTCTCGTTGTAAAAGTTCGGATTTCTTCAAGTCTAATTCAATTAATAAAGTATTATAATCTTCTTCGACGTTTTTGTCTTCAATTGGCTGCAAAACAATCTTCTTTAGTCTTTCATCCTCTTCCTTTCTCTTTTCTATCTCTTTTTGGGCGGCTTCGAGCTTTAATTCTTCGTATTTCGATTTTAATTCTTCTAATTCTTTCATTTTTTCATCCAAATCCTTTTGTTTCTGTTCTATTTCTTTGTCCTCTTCATCGAGCTTCTTTTCCTCTTCCTTTGCAGCATTAAGTTTCTCTGTTGCGGCCTTTTTATTCGTTTCAAAAACTTCATTTTGTTTTTTCAATTCTTCAAGACGTTTTTGTAGCATTGCTTTTTCGGATTCTGCTGATATCTTGCGTCTAATGATTTCTTTGTGGCGATCTTCAGCTTCTAGGATAGCTATCTGGTGCTGTTTGGCTTCTTCTTCCTTTTGTAAAGTTTCATTTTCGTGTTTCGTTAAGTCGTTGTTGATGTAATCGATCATTTGCTGGATTGTACTTAATGTTTGACTTTTTCCGTATATTTCGTTCTCTAAAATCGGATCTACTTCTGAATTTTTACGCATTAAAATTTCTTTCTTCTTTTGGCAAATAAATAAGTCCTTTTTAACAAGGTTTAGGTGTTGCTGAAGCTCATATAATGTTCTGCTAAGAACTGATTCATCTTCTTCTGCTTCTTCTTGTTGTTTTCCTCGAATATCTTCCCATAAACGTAATTCTGTTTTTAAATCTTCGTTTCTTTTCTTCTCTTCTTCAAGTTCTGCTATATCTTCGTTGAGTTTTTTCCATGCTAAGTCAAGTTTTGATCTTTGTAATTTCAAATTTTCTTCTCTTTCCTTTAAAGAACGTTGAAAGCTATTCATTGGAGCTGCTGGTGATTGTTTCCACATCTTTGATTGCTGTCGAATAGTTTTATATGTTGGAGTTCTTGACATTTTTGTTTTTATAAAATTCACTTTTTTATAATTCTGGAATTGTAAAAAGATCCCAATCTACGAGAAAACCTTTAGCTAGTATTAGGATACCCACATTTTTATTATTTAAGCTTTGAATCTATATGAAAAGTTCAATTAATGTTTCATTAAGTCTAGTAGAGATATGCCGATAGCAACTTATCATAAACAGCATGTAGATAATCATTCTCTATAATTCAGCCCATCTACGCATGTACAAATCATTTAATCTAAGAAATATTGTTAAAGATATAAGAATTTGATTATATATCAACGATTTTTATCCTCACTTAGTTCGTCCTCAATTGGCTTGTGAATTTGGAGCTCTACTTCGTCATAACGTATTAGGAAGTGAATATAGTAGAGACTTGCATCAACTAGCATAAGGTTTTCTGCTATCTTTTATTGTGTAATGCAATAATTGAATAGTAATTATGCGCCAACTATATTTTTCTTCGAAATATTTGCTCGAATTTTTGATTTCTACTTATTTCTATCTAGATAACTCACTTTCAACTTTAAACATGAATTCGTATTAAAATACCGAGAGTTTAAAATAAATAATTTAATTACTAAACAAAAATAAATTTCATGGGCAAACGATTCGCAAACATGATCAGAATACTTGAGATTTGGGTCTCTGCAACAGTGGTGGTATTGTTAAGAAAGAATCATCAAATTTCTTTGGAGCAGTAAGTGAACTAAGCCAATTAGAGAATTGGTCTTGTGCTGGTTGCTGTGGGCAAGCAGGAACATTAAAAAGAAGTTCATTAGACCTTGCCTTTACTGAAGTATTCCATCTATTTTTAACTAAGGTGTCTGTCCTTCCAGGCAAGAATCTAGCGATGTCAGCCCACTTATTACCAAGCTCATGCTGCTTTTGCGCAAGAATTAGATCTTCTGCATAAGTCCATGGGCCTTTATTGATATTAGGATTCAAATGGTTGTGCCATCGCTCACGGCATTGTTTAGGAGTTCTATTTGTTAACATAGATGCTAACATCGACCAGTTAGTAGGTCCATTTAGCATGATATATCGGATTAATAATTGGTCCTCATGTAGGGTGAACGGACGCTTAGATATTATCTTGTGCTTGCATTCGCTCGTATCAGACTCATCACTTGATGTCATCGTTAACATAATGATCGACCTCTGCTTTGAAAACTATGTGATGACAACTTGTGACTTGTTTCTGGAAAAATCCTCTCAATTAATGCATCGATAATTGAGAGGGATGATTTGAATTTGTATTGTTTACAAAAATTGAGACGAATGATTGAAATGTTATTTTTGGAAGCAAATGTCAGAATTCAATTATAGCATATTGACTATTTATCTTTTAAATACCTCATGTATAGCTCAAGAAACTGACAATTGTCATCCAGAAAGTATTTTCTTAATCTAAAAACCAAAAATTCCCAATAATTTTTTGTATATTATGGGATACCAGTGTCATTTTCTGTCGTTGATCTTGTACTACACCCCTGAGTTAATGTTCTTCTCAAAATCCTTGAAAGGTTAAAATTAATTTAAAAAAAAACATTTAACTTTTTTGAAGTTAAATCGAAACGCAAATGACGGGAAAATACACTATTATAGTCATTAGAATTGAAAATTGATAATAAATAAAATTGAAAATATTGAGTCTTTTGAATATATACTTCTTGTTTTTCATCAATATTGTAGGTTTTTTATTATGATCACTCTATACATAAATGATATATCGGTTATTAAACTTGGAAAATCTTTAATTTGTCGATTTTTCGTTCTTATTCTATGTATTATCAAACTTGCTCATGTTTACCATTCATCTAATATTTCCAAAAAAATAATTGATGCATAAAATGATGTTTCATTTTCTATATATTTTTCTTGATTTTTTCATTTATAATTTTTTTTGGAAATAAAAACAGAATAACATTTGATTTTAAAAAGATAGAATGATTAATTTTTTGAAGCTTTCCAATTTTCTAAGGATCGATTATAAATTTTCTGTTATTCCAAGATTTCTATCTTTCTTATCAAATTAATTCTGCATTGTTGATCTACATATATGTCAAATTATATGTAAAATTGCTGTCGGTATATGGAAGAGGCAGGAAATTCTCTTATAATTTAGTAATTAATTGGAATTTTATCTCAAATTGTTCAATATAAGATTTTTATACATGGAACTAGGACTATAGATACTTCTTCACATATCTATGAGAAAACACGAGTTTTCTATTTTGATGCATCTCATAGAAAGTATTGAGCTCGAAGATGAACGTTTAAAAAATTAAAGTTGATGCCCAAGGACACCATATTATATGATGCCCTTGGTGTAAATCCAAATGCATCTCTTAATGAAATCCAAAAGGCTTATCTAAACACATCAAGGGAGCTTGAAGAAGGAGATTTCAATAAGGATGAGCATTTTCTCGTTCAAACAGCCTACGAAATACTTTCAAAGCCACAATTACGACGTATGTACGATACATATGGACTTGAAATGTCTTTACAGATACTTCATTCGAATTTTAATTACTCACCTCCACAAAAACAACAACAACAAGATTATTCTTATTACGATGAAGAGGAAGAAGAAGAAGATTATTATTATGATGTTGATGATTGGCAACACTTCAATCTCGACGTCTCTTTAAAAAATCTTTATCTTGGTTGTACCCTTCCTCTGCGTATAAAACTTACAGTATCGTGCCCTCATTGTCATGGAAATGGCACTCAATCACGTATGCCACATGAAATTTGCCATTCCTGCAATGGCCATGGATTTAAATACATTTTTGTTGACCCAGCATATGGAAACCTTCAAGCAAGACAAACATGCTCCACATGCTTAGGAAAAGGATATATTATTGATGACGAAGATATTTGCCAACGATGCTACGGAAAAGGAACAATTGAAAAATTAATGAACAAACAAGTTAAAATCGAACCAGGTACACGTGGTGGAGATATTATAAAATTAAAAGATATACATTCATTGGTATATATACACCAAAAAAAGGATCCTACATTCGTATTAAATGGAAATGATCTTTTGATGCATAAAGAAATTACATTGACACAAGCTCTTTGCGGCTCCCATTTAGTAGTTGATCATCTTGGCGATCGAAAACTTATCATTCCTACAATAGGAAGAGTAATTAGTCCAGATCAAGTGTTAAAAATAGAAGGAGAAGGATTTCCTGTTAAAAATAGTACGAAAAAGGGAAATTTGTATATTAAATTCCATGTAGAGTTTCCTACTGCAATTCCTCCAGCTCTTGCTACAGTTTTAGATAAATTTCTGCCTCGGCCTGTTGTACAACAGGAAACTGAAACATATATGCAAGATGGCAAACTAGAGGACTTTGGACAATATGTTGATCCTCAAAAACAATCAGAATACTCATACGAAGAAGATTATTTAGATTATTCCGAAGAAGAAGAGGAAGAGTATGATGATTAATTAGATTTTGTTGTTAGTTTGTAAATATATTATTTATGTTATTATTTTTGATCTAAAGTTCATAAATTTTTAAAAGATGACTTTGAAGATGACGCCAAGAACTCGAATGAATGCAAAAGTCTTCGGAATCACTGCTCCCTCAAGACAAGAAGATCCAATGCAAGATTCATCTCGTAAAAAGAATGAAAATAAACAATTTCAATATTTTCATAGCAAAGAGTATAAATTTATTTGCGAAATCGTTAGTAGATTTTCAGTCGAAAAGACAGGTATGTATTTAAAACGCGTCAAAGAACCTCTATTTCAAGCACATCTAAGAAGAGTTATCGAAAACGAACAAGAGAATCTTAAAAAATTAAAAGAAAAAACGAAATACGATGAAAAGGAACAATATGGAAAGGAATTAGAAGAATTACGCGAGCAATACAACAAATTAACTCAAGCAGAAGATGATTTACAAAGAACATATAATAGCGTCAATAGTACTTTTGCAAGATTAGTATATGAATGTAACGAATCAGTCATCGGAAATACTGCAATGCTCTATCAAGAAGATTATGAAAGGTTATTAGATCTAAATAAAAGCCAGCGTGATGCATTACGACAAAGAGAATACAGAGAACTTTGTAACGAAGGTAATGAAGCACTTCTAGATATGCTTACTAAGGAAACAAAAAAGAATTATGATGCAATAAAAGAGATAGAAGAAAGAATCGAAAAAAGAAAAGAACATGACAAAGAAATATCATTTCAATTAAGCGAACTCAGAGTTGAATATGAAAATGCTCTTGCGAAGAAATTTAATGCTAGAAATGAAGATTTGAATGTCAAGATGACAGAAATTATTGAATGGGTTCATAACAATGATCCTTTCATTGCAATGAACCAATTTGAAGATGCACAAAAGAAAAAGATTGTTGAAAAAAGTGTCTATGACTTAATTCAATCAGTTGGAGATGGCAAAATTTCTGACTATGATGTTCTTGATCCACCTGTTGTTCCAAAACTCCCAGAAATGGACATCAACATTGAATGAATATTGTGACCAAAATTATATTAATTACTCATATACATTGTTGCTTCATATCATTTTGTTTGCATTTCACTCTTACATTTAGTAAAGAATTTTGTTTGTATTGTGATTATTGAAATTTCAAGGTATTTGAATTTATATATTTTACTTGTAATATCTCCATTGAATATAAGACAATAATTTTGTCATAATGCAATAGATTTATTGATATATATAGCAGGGGATATTAAATTATTGAAGAATGACCAAACAAACTTGAAGGAACTTTCATACATATGTTACACATAAATTTTATAGAAGAAAAATGAGACTCGATAAGAAAGTGAAAAAATGAGAAAATAAAGGTACAAATATCGATTTGCGAAAATCAATCAATCAAACACTATTGCTTAAGACAACGTTTTTATTAATCCGGATTGAATTTTACTCACGCTTGGAAAATGAAAGCTAGAAATTTTCTGAGGTCTCAAAATAAAAAAGTGACAAGCACAAGATTTATTAGCTTTAAATCATACATATTATGTGTATATATATATTGCAGAATTTTGAATCAAAAATAATTTTTCTTTCAATTTTCAAATTGCCAAGAATATAATTTGAAGCCGATCGAAAAGCAATAAAGAGTATATTTAAATCAATAAGTTGTTCAAGTTAAGTGAAAGATACTCATAAATAATTTCTAATAATTGCATTGAAAAGTGATATATTAGAGTATTTAGAATCAATAATTTATTAAAATTTTTGGAATGTAAAATTGTGCAATAATTTTTTGAAGGCATTCTTGAAAATATAAAAAATCAAAAATACTAAAACCTAGATAAGCTTCATATTTTAGGTCCATTTAAGATAATAAAAAAATTAAAATATTAGCGGCTTTTTTACTAAGCGAAATTGAAATTCAAATTTATCATTCTAGCGCATTTTGGTTATATCTTTCCATCCAAGTTAAAACTATTTCTCATTCAATTCATACAAATTTTTCTATTGAACTTAAGTAGTTGTCAAAAAGAACACCACATCTGTACATATGTTACATAATATATCTCAAAAAAAAATTGATTAAATTCAAATTAAAGTGTTCAGAGTTAATTTGAATATTTTAGAAAAATTCTGAGAGGTTCTCAAAATACTCAATCTTATTGTTGAACATTAAGGGTGCACCCGTATGTACGTTTATTTGAGAGGAGGAGGATTACCCTCTCAATTTTGAGGGATTCGTTAGTTTATTTTCTCGATGAATATGCAATAAAATTTGATTTTTACCTTATCAATATACTTCATATAATATACACATGTTCATGTAAAAACTTTTTTCCAAAATCCTCAGGAATTAAGGGATTTTTGAATTTTAAGAATTTTTTTAGAATTTTTTCGAAAAAAAAATATTTTCAGAACAGCCTTAACGGCTAAGATTTAGGAACAATGTTAAGTATCAAAAAGAAAGGAGGTCTGATATAGACAACATATATCGTTGAAGGTTGAAAAAATCTCTAATATTTGAGCCCAAAATTTCAAATTTTAATTTTTTGAAAAAAGAGGCCACCCGTATGTACGTTTATTTGAGAGGAGGAGGATTATATTTTTGAAAGGGTGAAACATTATGAATATGTTAATTATATAATAATATGTATTATTATAAAAAAGAAAAAATAAAGCACGTTAAAATTTTTCTTTCTTGATTTTTTACAAAATCTACTTAGAATTATGCAAAATATGACTAAATAATTATAAATTTCAAGCTAAATTTTAATTTTGATAAATAATTTAAATTTCAAAATATCAAGTTCAGTTCGACTATGTATGTAGTAATTCCTCAATAAAGTGCCAAAACCCTATTAAAATATATGAACATTTTCAACATTTTAATGTTTTTATTTAAAAATTTGTTGGAATATGAGCTTCAAACAATTATTATGTAAATAAAAATAATTAAATATATGTATTTATTCGTATTACAACCGTAGTAAGTCGATTCTTCCTTTCTTCTACTGAGGTTTGAATTTGATTTCGAATTGTAAAGAGATTCAAAGGGAAAATACTAGCGGATAAAAACTACCTCCATGAAAGGGTCATAATGGAGTCAAGTTGTATTTTTTGATATTTTTTGCTTTTCGAGCCTAAATAGGTAGCCAAGATAATGCCTAAAAATAAGGTTCTAAATTCTGAAGTTTACATGATCCTCTCGTGTGCACCCTTAATATCTTCTCAATAGAATGAATCAGCGTGAATTACAGTACTTTGCGACACAAGAAATTAAATTTATACGTGTATTGGGACGTGGTGCCTTTGGCGTTGTTTATCATGTTCACTCAGATCACTATGGATCTGAGTTTGCGTTAAAAAAGATTCCAGAAAACGCTTTTAACACCATGGAGCTTGAATGCCTCATAGAAATCGACACACCACGAAAAACTCACCTTTACCAGTATTTTAGATTTGAAAATAGTATTTATTTACTCATGGAGTTTTGCCCATACGATTTATCAAAAATTATCAAGACCAAAAACACTCTACCAAGAGATGTTTTCATGAACTACGTTAGGGATGTTGTTTTGGCTGTAAAAGCCTGCCATGACCAAAATATCGCTCACTCCGACATTAAGCCTTCTAATTTCCTTATAGATCAATATGGGAGAGTCAAAATCAGTGATTTTGGACTTAGCTCGATTTATAAAGGCGATCCAATCTCATTTGCTTTTTCAGGAACCAAACTTTACATGGCACCCGAGATATTTAACAAATCTGCTTATAACCCGATTATTGCTGACATGTGGGCTCTTGGCGTTACAATTTTCTACATGGTTACGAAAGATTATCCATTTAAGTCAGATAACGAGGAATTACTAACATACATCATCCATAGAGGTAAGTATAAAGATGACATGATAAAGGATGACCTACTTAAAGCAGTAATCGCGAGATGCCTGACTGTAGATGTCAAACAGAGGGCTTCATGCGATGAGCTTTTAGAAATGCCTTATTTCCATCAAGATTTCTTCATGCAGCAACTTAGACCATCCAACTCCAGGATCTCATTAAAATCAATGGCGCATGACCCAATATTTAAGCCAAAGATACCAGAAGTTAGATCAATCGTTAGTATGCAATCAACATTCTACAGGAATAATAGCTCTTCTCGCTTGAGATTGACCATTCCTGAATCAAAGTCTCAGGCACAGCCATTTATTCCAACTAACGTTATAGAAGAATAAGTACATAATATAGCCATGCATATTTATATGTATATAATAATTGTTTGTAAATTATATTTCATACTTTAGTTTTTTTATCAAATAAAAATATCGGATTTGTTATTTTCTTTGGTACAAAAATTAAGTACCATTCTTTAATTTGCTTTTTCTTAATCCTTATTTTAAGAGATTAAGATTTCAAGCGTGGAAACACGTGTATGTGCTCGACTAGATAAAAATTTGAGCTGTAAATTAAAAGACCAAATCGTTGATTGACTAATAAATAAATGTTGAAATCCATTCTGATCATGGTTTCGGAAACAAAATTAGTGCGAGTTATTCCATATAGATAAAACGCTGGCATGTTAAATTGTAGCATTCGCTCAAATATTAAATCTTCAATTCGCGATTTATGGAAAGAATACCAATGGTTCATAGAGTAGAATACTCTACTTATAGGACAATCTATGACATCAATACCATTTGGATTTCTTTATAATGACATTAACATGATTGTTTTGACTCATCAAATCGGAATCATTTCTTATGATTTAGTTGTTAGAGTACTTAGTCGTTTGGATTATACATTGTTTGAATTTAATTGCAAATAAAAAATGAATAAAAACTTTGTTTATTAATAGATAAACATATTATTTCATCAGATATGATGCAATGGAAGTATTTTAACACCTGCTGTAAGCAAATTTCATATCAAATTAATAAAAGATAAAATTAATCAAATTACAGAAGTAAACCAATAACTAACGATCACAAACAGCTAATTCTGGATTGATTAACATCATTAGATTGCTATAATAACTAACTTCAACGTCAACCTTTGATAAAAAATGAAAAAATGAGCGAAAACAGAGTATAATTGATTAAACATACTTTCTAAGATGAGTTTATCTTATCAGTTATCAATTCAATTAATTCTTCTTGCTCATCATCGTCTGGATCTATATTTTCTAAAGCAGATAAAAGATCTATTTTGTCAAACACAGGCAACAAATCTCCCAGTTGCCCATTTGCTTCAAATAATGATGTAATTCTTTGGATCATTTGAAGACTTTCGTTAATAACTTCTCTGTTCTCACAATTGAGTAAAATTGAAAAAGCATATATAATCTCATTTGAAATTAACTGAGAAATTAAACTGTTATCAAGTCTTTTGAATATCTTGAAAATTAACATTGAAATCTCAATAATACTGGCATAATTGGTCGATTCAGCGTCAATTAAACCAGATAATACTTCTAAAATGTTAGTTTGAAGTACTGATTCAATATTATTTTTTTCAAAATAAATTTGAAACAGTTGGCAAACTTCTTTTGTTATTTTATTCGATGTACTGGACTCAAGGATCTTCATGAAGCTACCTAAAGGAAATTCTGAATTAGGAAAGTCATTTTTTGATAATAAAACCTTAAACATCTTTGTGATGTGTAGTACTTTCTTTTCATCCGGTGATTCATAGTAAGATGAGAAGAAATCTAAAATTTGATCCTTAAAAAATTGTTCAATTGAATAACAATCATTGGAAATCATATGCATAATAGAAACTATAATAGTGTTGGAGCCTTCCAAGTCAAGTGATAAGATAAATTTTGCAATTTCGATTATTTGAGAAACTTCTAGCGAAGACAGATCTGTTTTTGAATAGTATTCGATATATTTTGATATAAGACTTGAGAGTTGCCCATCAATTTTAATATGCTGAGTTCCAATGCTCAAGAAAATTTCATAAATTGTTGAAAGTGGCGCAATTGTATAAAATTCTTTAAATCTATCGGGGTAATCTAATATAAACAAGGAAAGAATCTGAAGAGCTTCTGTGCAGTTGTAAGAAATCGGAGGCTTAATTAAATTCGCTAAGATATCTAATAATCCTGAAGAAATGTAGTAATCAGTAAATTTTCTATTAACATATAACAGTGATTCAATGGCTCTAAGTATTTGGAGTAATAAATCTGCATCATCAATTTCTCTAAGAATTGTATTAAGAAAAACATGGAAATCATATTCTTCTATGATACAAGTAACATCACTTTCAGTTGTTTCACAGTGTTCTGTTGAAAGTATAAGTTTTGTTTTAAATTCATCGAGATTTGACTCTGAGTATGAGGTGATTATAGTTTGAATTACATCAGCAAATTCATGCGGTGTTATTTCATCATCATTATCTGACGAACTTTCAATCTCGTGATCTTCAATACTGTCTTTAACATTCATAAATGAAGATTTAATTAATTATTAAAAATACTTGCCATAATGGAATAATCGTTCGAAGCCTATGAAAGTCTATTTCAGTTCAAATATCAGAAATATAAAGGATTAGGTCATCAGAGATTAAAACATCCAGAGTTTAGAAGCTATTTATCTTTTAGGGTCAATTTTGGTACCACCTGTAAAGGTATGTGGCCGAATTGTTAATTTAAATTATTTGGAAATAAATAAAGTGATAAACAGGCAATTAGCATATCAACAATACAATTGACCTTGAATATTAATAAGATTTCAATTGCAAATGAGAAAATGCCAAATCATGAGTAATTTCACAAAATAAATCAAATAAAGACACTTCTGTCCGTAAAGACAAGCTTCAAGCATGAATCATTCATCATTTTCATTGTCTGTGAATCAATCTATGAACTAATTAATTCACGAGGAAATCAAAATTGCAGTTCAAATATCCTGACAACGACAACAGTAATAATTCGTTTAGACAAAGTTAATTTTAGAATCTGTGAAGAAGAAAAAGAATCTTGGAGAAATCAAAATTTCAAAAAAAAGTTTGATAATTTTCTAAAGGATAGAAAGGATAGTATATTTTATTTATAATAGTATAGTATATTATATCGCTTAAGCGGATGATGCAACAGTTGCATGTCCTCTGTAGTTGATGATCTCGGTTGGAGCAACCTTGCGCTCGCTGATGAGCTGGATTGTTGTGAGGAGTGGGAACTGTTCTGTTGCCTTTCTCTCAACAAGGATCTTGTAGACTTCGGCAGCAGCGAGTGTACCTTGAAGCTTTTGTCCGTTGAGGAGCTCTGCTTCGCACTCTTGGAATGTCTTGCCGAACTTAACAAAGTACTCGGCGCACTTCCTGTTTCTGCCACCATATGATGATGCAACAATGTCGCCGAATCCGCATGATTCAATCATTGTGAGGATGTCGACGCCTCTGTCTGGGAACATCATCTTAGCGAAGTCGAAGATCTCGACGAAGCCTTCACGGAGGATAGCAGCCTTTGTGGACTGACCCATGTTGAGACCATCAACAATACCGCCACCGAGAGCAACGATGTTCTTCATTGTGCCAGAGAGCTGCTGTGTGACAATGTCGTTTGTGCAGGAGATCTTGAACTTTGGAGAGTCGAAGAGCTGCTTCCATGTCTCGCGCTCTGGGATATCTGGGAATGCTAATGTGGACTCGCAGAAGTCTCCGCGAGCGATTTCGTTAGCGATGTTAGCACCCATGAGAGAACCGCACTTGATGCCGATGATCTCTTCAACTGTATCTGTAAGGAGTTGGATCTTGCCATCCTTGAAGTTGATTCCCTTTGTGAGGAGGCATCCTGTAGCTGTGTTCTTGACGTGGCCCTTCATCTTCTGGAGTGTAGCTGGGAGGAACTGGTGTGGAACGACGAAGATGAAGAAATCTGCATCGCAGCATTCGACGACATCGCCGATGGCTTCGACGTTCTCGCCGAGGTTGTAGCCTGGAAGATACTTGACATTCTCGTGTGTTGTGTTAATTGTGTTGATGAGGGATTCACCATTGACGATTTCTTCAAGAACCCACATCTTGATATGCTGATCCATTTCTGGAACGTTCTTGATGTTAGCTGCACAGTGTCTGGCGATGCAGCTTCCGAAGTTTCCTGAACCGATGATGCTTAACTTGTAAGGCATTATTAAAAATGAAGTGCTAAATCGAAAAATTTTAATTTGACCAAAATTGAGAGAGTATTGGATATTTTGAATACTTTAGAACCAAATTGCTCTGAAATTGTAGAGAGCTCACACAATGTTTTGCCTTGCAATCAAAATTTCCTTTGGATTTTGCAAAATTATATCAAGCATGCATCATAGATGTTATATCTCAGAATTATTGATCGTTTTGATTTGTAATGCTGTCAAAAGGTGAATTTTATTCGTTTCGACCAAACTCAGTAAAAACGATTAGCATCACATAATATGATGATAACATAATTATTTCACAATTGTCTTTATTTTTTGTTTGGTTTACAAACATAATCGTTCTTTATAATCTTATTCCACTATCATAACTATTCACTTCTATTCGTTATTCATAAATTTTCCCCATCAAAACCGGTTTATATTAAATTTTGAAAAGAACAATCAATAACAATTTATCCAATATATACCAAGTCTTATATCATATATCAGTTTTCTACATTCAAAAATTTTTATTTGATTTACAAACTTTCTATGAGCTCAATGAAATTTTTAGAATGTTTACATTTCAGAATTGTGAAATAATTATGTTATCATCATATTATGTGATGCTAATCGTTTTTACTGAGTTTGGTCGAAACGAATAAAATTCACCTTTTGACAGCATTACAAATCAAAACGATCAATAATTCTGAGATATAACATCTATGATGCATGCTTGATATAATTTTGCAAAATCCAAAGGAAATTTTGATTGCAAGGCAAAACATTGTGTGAGCTCTCTACAATTTCAGAGCAATTTGGTTCTAAAGTATTCAAAATATCCAATACTCTCTCAATTTTGGTCAAATTAAAATTTTTCGATTTAGCACTTCATTTTTAATAATGCCTTACAAGTTAAGCATCATCGGTTCAGGAAACTTCGGAAGCTGCATCGCCAGACACTGTGCAGCTAACATCAAGAACGTTCCAGAAATGGATCAGCATATCAAGATGTGGGTTCTTGAAGAAATCGTCAATGGTGAATCCCTCATCAACACAATTAACACAACACACGAGAATGTCAAGTATCTTCCAGGCTACAACCTCGGCGAGAACGTCGAAGCCATCGGCGATGTCGTCGAATGCTGCGATGCAGATTTCTTCATCTTCGTCGTTCCACACCAGTTCCTCCCAGCTACACTCCAGAAGATGAAGGGCCACGTCAAGAACACAGCTACAGGATGCCTCCTCACAAAGGGAATCAACTTCAAGGATGGCAAGATCCAACTCCTTACAGATACAGTTGAAGAGATCATCGGCATCAAGTGCGGTTCTCTCATGGGTGCTAACATCGCTAACGAAATCGCTCGCGGAGACTTCTGCGAGTCCACATTAGCATTCCCAGATATCCCAGAGCGCGAGACATGGAAGCAGCTCTTCGACTCTCCAAAGTTCAAGATCTCCTGCACAAACGACATTGTCACACAGCAGCTCTCTGGCACAATGAAGAACATCGTTGCTCTCGGTGGCGGTATTGTTGATGGTCTCAACATGGGTCAGTCCACAAAGGCTGCTATCCTCCGTGAAGGCTTCGTCGAGATCTTCGACTTCGCTAAGATGATGTTCCCAGACAGAGGCGTCGACATCCTCACAATGATTGAATCATGCGGATTCGGCGACATTGTTGCATCATCATATGGTGGCAGAAACAGGAAGTGCGCCGAGTACTTTGTTAAGTTCGGCAAGACATTCCAAGAGTGCGAAGCAGAGCTCCTCAACGGACAAAAGCTTCAAGGTACACTCGCTGCTGCCGAAGTCTACAAGATCCTTGTTGAGAGAAAGGCAACAGAACAGTTCCCACTCCTCACAACAATCCAGCTCATCAGCGAGCGCAAGGTTGCTCCAACCGAGATCATCAACTACAGAGGACATGCAACTGTTGCATCATCCGCTTAAGCGATATAATATACTATACTATTATAAATAAAATATACTATCCTTTCTATCCTTTAGAAAATTATCAAACTTTTTTTGAAATTTTGATTTCTCCAAGATTCTTTTTCTTCTTCACAGATTCTAAAATTAACTTTGTCTAAACGAATTATTACTGTTGTCGTTGTCAGGATATTTGAACTGCAATTTTGATTTCCTCGTGAATTAATTAGTTCATAGATTGATTCACAGACAATGAAAATGATGAATGATTCATGCTTGAAGCTTGTCTTTACGGACAGAAGTGTCTTTATTTGATTTATTTTGTGAAATTACTCATGATTTGGCATTTTCTCATTTGCAATTGAAATCTTATTAATATTCAAGGTCAATTGTATTGTTGATATGCTAATTGCCTGTTTATCACTTTATTTATTTCCAAATAATTTAAATTAACAATTCAGCCACATACCTTTACAGGTGGTACCAAAATTGACCCTAAAAGATAAATAGCTTCTAAACTCTGGATGTTTTAATCTCTGATGACCTAATCCTTTATATTTCTGAAACTAGTTATCATCAACAATATACTACCCTATGGTTTCTTGCCACTACTCAGAGCTTCAAGCCAAAATCAATGTTAGATTTTTGTTGGCATGCTATCATTTTAATTTTTTGAATTTTCGACATTTATGTTAAGTCAAACAATACAATTATGTCATACCATATAAAATAAGTGTTTATGAATTAGTAACATTTATTAAACACTCGAGAGAAAAATTAAATGAAAAAAGATCTTCAAAAACAAGTTTTTTATTATTATTACTTCGACACAAACTAAGTTTAACTGAAATTGGAGCTGCTTCACATTTTCCTAATGAAAGCAATGAAAGTGTAAGATCAAAAGTACATACTTTCATTTCATTTGTATAAACAATACCATCATTGCTACTACTTGCAGTCAAAACATCACCAGTACAGTTTATAACTGTTATGATACCACTACTACCTGTACCAAAAGTATGTTTTGCTTTGTTATTTAAGAAAATACATTCTGCAACAGTAACATTTGATGATGAAGAACTAATAAGACCCCAATATGACTTACCAATTGAACATGAGTTGTTTCTGAATAAAGATCTTTTCAAAAATGAATCAGGCGAATTAGAATGAGACATACAAATATTACTTTTTAGATTCTCATTAGAAATGAAACAACAATAGCTAATATTAACTGGTTTATATTTAAAACAATAACCAGACCAGCTTCCACATCTTGATTTCGTGTTGTTTGTAGAAATTAGACTTTGTAATCCGTGTAAATGATGTATACTAGCAAAACCATTTTCATCATGACCGCATTGATAGAGAGAACTTAAATTTACAAAATTTTTGTATGGATTTGTTCTAACATTTGTATACGAGTGCTTTCCATCGCCTATTGTGTAACAATTATATGAACAGAATCGATCTTGAACAATGGAACTGAAACACGAGAAGTAGATGCAGCCACCAGCTCCTGTAGGACGATTAATATTGCTGTATGTGCAGATAGAATGGAGAAACTTGATAGAATTCTTTTCGCAATTAATGACATTGTCAGAAAAATCTTTGAAATTTGATGAAAGTAAGAAAAAGTTTGAAGAAATAGTTGGTTTTGTGTTATTTGTGATATCAACATAGTCTTGTGTTGGCTGCCCAAAGTATTCTTCCCATATCTCACTCGGAACTCCAGCTTCATTGAAAGCTAGATTTCAGCAAAGATTTTGAGAAAAAAAATTAACATCATTCTTCCAAAAATTGAGTTTCACTCAATTTTTGGAAGAATGATGGGAATTCTATTTCAATCAACTTACACGTGAAATTTTAGCTAACTAAAATCTTAGCTCTCTATCAAAAATAACGGTTTTGAAATAGAATTGAACAAATTTCCCTTTTTGGACGACTCTGGTGAAAAACTTTATGTTGACTGATTCTGAGAATAAAAACTAAAAGTTTTTGTAGATTGTATATCTTTTTTATAGATTTAACTTTCCGGGTTAACTATCCATTCAAAAATTAAATTATCAAAAATCAATTTCTAATTTGTAGTCGTCAATCAAATGAGTACTAATATTAATAATACATATAAACGATAAATATTTAATACAAACAAATAATATATAAAAACAATTCTATTTCTTATTGAAATGAGAAAATCTTACTCTTGAAGTGTCATCAAGAGGTTCTCTAATTCTAGAAGTATGGTGTGCCTTATCTGTTTTCTGCGTAGTAATGAAGAGGAAGTCATTTCCTCTTCTAACTTCTTTTTCTTCTTCAATTTCGTTGTCACTTTTTACTTCTTTTCTTTCTATTGGATTTCGAAGTGATCCTTGCTTTCCTTTCATGAAGTTTTCACGGTCAACATCTGTTTTGTTCTCTTCTGGCTTATCTAAAGTGTTTGACGGATCAATTGGAAAACGATATCCTTTGAAAGGAGTGTCAAAACCGTCAATTACATATTTTGTAAAAATTTCTGCATCATAGTCATTAATTTCGCCATAAATATAGTCCTTGATACCGGAATTATGAACATCCGATATATGTGTTACTTTTAGTTCTGGCGCAAAAGTAACATTTTTCTTCTTTTTCTTCTTTTTATGAGATAATCTTGGATTAAATGTTTGAGACTTAGAAAATGTCTGTTTCTGGGCATCAACAAAGATATTTAGTGAAGGACTGATTGTAGAGACTTCAACAGCCAATGCTGGTGGATGAACTTTGAAATTCGAAATTTCCGAAATTTGATTTTCTTCTTTTTGACGAATTTCATGAGGACTTTGAGTTATATTTGTATTATCAACGTTCTCATTGTTGAGTTGTCCACTTATTTCTTCATTTTCTGATTTAATATTTTCCGAATTTTGGGTATTGGATTCAACAGGGCCCAAAATGTGATCTTTAATATCAGCAAGAGACACATTAGTATTGGGTTTCACAATAATAGTATTTTTATTGTCATTCTTTGGTAAAAAAGTTGATTTTTCACTTTTTGGTAAAAATTTTGTTTTGGAAATTTTTTGTGTCGCTTTTTTGAATTGTGTAACCTTTTGTGATTTCACTGGCAATTCTTCTTCTTTCTGGTAAACCTGTCTATGCTTTGGTGGTGCTGACTGTCTGTTCAACTTTTCAAAAATTGATTCACCTTTTGAAATTTTTGACATTGAAGATGAAGCTGACACTTTTGGAATATCGGTTTTTATTGTAATGAATTTCTTATCATCAGGATTTGCATTTTCAACAAAGAAACCGTTTTGATTCTGAATATTTTTATCACTTTTCCTGACATGAACATTTTTAGGTTTCCTTCTAGATTTTGGTTTAATTTCTTCATCATCGTCATCACTATTGAAGAGTTTGATTTGTTTTCTCTTCTTTTTCTTTTGATTTTTGTCAATTTTCTTCTCTTGAACCTCATTTTCTTTGTTTTCCTCTGGTTTTTCTTCTTGTATTGCGATTGTTTCTTCTGTGACTTTCTTCCTCTTCCATATTTTGTCAATATCATATTTGGAATAAACAGAAAGTGAAGTCAACTTGTTTTTGTCACTTTTTTCAAAATAAAAATGTTTTGGAAATTCGAAAAGATCAACTTCTAAATCTCTAAAAGTATCAGGTGATATAATGTCAAAACTGACTGTTTTTTGATAGTAAGGACGACTACTTTTCACTTCACTAGTTTCACTTTTCATAAGCGACATTTCGAAAGGATCTGCTCTCATGTCGAAATCATCGTACTGCAAAGTTCTTGACACCAATTTTTTGGAGTACAAAAGATTCGAAGAAATTTCAAAAATAGTGTCAAAAGCAGATATCAAAAGTATTCCATGGCCATTAAGAAAACAACAGCTTGTCAATTCAAAACAAAATTCAATATGTGCAATTGGAAACAAGTCATTCAAATCGTAAATAAAAATATCACCACTTTTGACAAATGACATTCCAATGTTTCTTTGTGCACAATAATCTACACTTAATATTTCTTCACTCCTCTTATGAATTGCATTGTATTTCATTGAACTACATAATAACCTTAAACTTGGATATTCTCTTAATTCTACGAAACCGTTATTTGTTCCACAAAAAATTTTGTTTTTGTCAACAAAAATCATTTGTGTATAAATGTTTGATTTCACAGTTTCAACAGTTACTTGTAAAAATGGATCGACAATAGATAATCCATTTTGATGGCAGACAATTAATTTTTGGGTGCTTCCTGAGAAACAGACAGAATAAACAGCAACTAAATTCAAATGAAATTGTTGGAAAAAGTGCAAATTTGTAAAAGTGAACAAACAAACTAAACCATTTTTTGTAATTGCGCAAATAGAATTAGGAAATCCTTTTTTCTCGATATGAACAAAATAAATAAATCTGATTTCAGGTGGAATATTTAAAACAGTTGTTGGAGAAAATTTTGAAGGTAAAATGAAAGCTCCTGCATCTTTATTTGTTCCGAATTGGGAAGCATTATCTAAATTGATATCAAGAAGAGGTCCTTGAGCGAAAAGAATGTATAAATCATCGCTATTTCTCAAAGAAACAAGATACTCTCCATCACAAAACAAATCTCTGGGATATTTCACATCAATTATTTCTCTCATTCCTCGTTGAATGTTAACTTTGTATAATTCTGCTTTAGATCGTGGAGAAATCATAGTAAGACTTGAATTATTCGTGAGATACATGATTCTAGAAGCGTTTTTGATTGATTTGCATCGTGTCAAATTCGTGATTTTTCCTGTTTCTGCTTTGACAAATGTTGTAAAGAAATTTGAACGATATTCGAAAATATTCATCGGACACAAGACGTAAATTCCATTTTTACGCATGATAAAGTCAATAGGGTTCTCTATAATTATATCTGTATCTAAAATTTCATGTGTTTTTAATGAAATAGTGTAAATTCTTCTTTCTTTTGTGATTACTATCATAAAATAAGAGTCATAGATGCGTACATATATTGGAGTTCCAATTGAATACTTGTGCTGCATTATAATTTCTAGAGAATCGAAGTTAATTTCTTCTTCTTTGAAATTAAATTTAAATTCTGAAATTAAACCATCATGGTTTGCTGTAATAATCTTATCAAGAGCATCATCATAGTTTACAAACATCAGAAATGGTGATGGTATTTTGTTAATTCGATGTATTACGTCACCATTTGAAACTTGATGAATAAAAAGTGTAAAATTTTGTTGAACAAAAAAAATTTCGCGATTTTTTGATACAAATGGATGATGTATATTGGTAAAATGATCGTTCGGATATAAATCTATAATTTTTTCAAATTGTAAAATTTCTGGAACAGGATTAGAATGCTTAAAATTATCAGGAAATTTAAGTCTTGTAAGCATAATTCCATCTCCGGCACTTAATAAAACGCTACTTTTTTCAAAATAAACCATATATGAGATTTTCTTTTGAGTAAATTCGAATGGATGCATTCTTGTTGTGAATGGTGGATACACTGCAATGAAATGTAAATAAGGAATTTCGTCTGAGAAAGATATTAATTGATTTAATTTTTCGACAAAGATTAAAACGCTTGATTTCAGTCTAATACTTGTTTTCTGGACTAAATTATCCCAAATATGAATGCTTTCTCCGTCTGTTGTTGCACAGAGATTATTTTGGATTTCACATAGAGAAATAAAACTTTTATTTGATGTATCTGTTTGATTTTTCTTTGCAACACCCCATTTTAGTTCTTTTGTCAATGGTGTGGCATTTTTATTTATGTAGTCTGCCGCGGAATTAAGTAAATCTCCTTCATCCATTCAAAATAAAAAAATATCGTTACAATATTCTAATTTAATTTTATTAATATGATTATGGTAACAATAAGTAGTAAAACATATTTAGCTGTAGAAATTTGGAAAAACTGCATTTTTTCAATATCAAATTTCTAAATTAACACAATAATTCGGTTAAATATGTTTTATCACATATACATTTCATTATATATTAGAAATTTTATCATATTGGTCGTAAAATAAGACTTTTTGACTTACAATTCGGAAGAATTCTTCATTTTTATAGTATAAATTGAAAATAATGTTCAATATCTATGAACCACAAGGATTGTTATGCAATTTTATGCGAATAGATTAAATTATCCCGGAAATAATTTTACGCGACTCGTTTCTTTGATAACCATTCAAATTTGATCTGAATTCAAAATTTCTGACGAGTAGAGAGTTTATGAAGTTTATAACGCTTATAATACAATATAAAATCAAAAATCATTCCGAATTATTTTTTTGATTTGTTTAATTTCAAACATTTTGATTTGAATGTTGTTTCATTTTGGACATTGAAGACTTACTGAATATTTACACTCGTAGTTATCTTTTATTCCGCCCAATTTTTGAGAGGGGAATTCAGAATTTTCTCAATTTTTATCAAATTCAGAGTTTACTAAAGTATTGAATAATAACTGCCATTTAGAGTTTGAGTTTCATGAGATATAAAATAACAAAATTAATAACGCCTATCACCTTGAGTGGTCAATCATTTGTGAATGTCTCAAAAAATATTCTCTCAAAAATGATTAATTTTTGAAAAGATGTTTGACCGAAATTCTTCGAAATCTTTTCCAAAAATCTTCTCATCATTGAAAGATATTGGTTCGAAATTTGGTTTCTTATTTATATGTTTTGGTTTTGGGGTATATCGAGTATAATGATGCCATCTGTTTTTAATATTCATTGGTGATCTGTATGGAATATATTTTGCTATTAGAGCCCATTTGTTTCCAAATTGTTTTTGATAATATAATAGAAGGTAATCTTCTTCCATTGTCCATGATTCTTTAGATATATAAGAGTCTAATTGTCCTGTCCATCTTTCTCTGCATTGCTTTCCAGTCCGCCCTTCAACCATCTCGCTTATTTTTGACCAATTCGATGTTCCGTACTTTTGGACTGCATCAATAAGCTGTTGATCTTGTTCATTAGTCCATCTGGTTTTGATTTTCTTGCTTTCATTGTGTATGCTGTGTGACTCCTCACACATACAATATCTTTCTCTTTTATATGTTTTACATCCTTTCTTATTTTACATTTTTGAAATCTCTTTTCAAATTTGAAAGGGGGAGTTAACTGATGAACGGATAGCACTTAATATTAGTTAAAAAAACATGAGTCGCCTATAATATGGGATTATTTAGTCAATATCTTGCCAACTACATGATAATTATATTTGTTAATCTTTGAAATTATTTATTGTTGAATTTATTAAAAATGATTATTTGGGTTTAAATCTTTAAAATGATCAATCCTATTTTATTACATATTGTTCATTCTATTTTTTCATAAATAATAAACAGTTTTAAAATTTTTAATTTCATTTCAATTCCTCTCAGTGCCATGTTAAAACGATATATACCGAAAAACACCAATATGTCATTCACATTGTATATGGTTATGATTATTAAGAAGAAAACAGCATTCGCAATATGTAAATGTTTTGATAACTGACTTTATCTTATAACTTTATTACTTTCTCTGTAGCCAAAGCCTTAATGACCGAACTAGTGTTAAAAAATATGTATTGCAATACATAAATTGCGTTCCTTCTCAAGCAAATTATGAATCATTCCTTTAAAGAATTCAGAATATATCCAAAATAAATATATCTGCAATGAGTAGTCATGGTAAACCATCATATATAATGAATCTTGTATGTCAAATTTGGCTTTTGAGATTCTGGATAATCAATTTAAAAAGTGATTTTTTAAAAAAATACCATCACTTTTTGTAATTATTCAGATGTAAATTACATTATTAATAATGCCCAAATTTATATTGACCAATGTACTTTTTTTGATATATTAAGTAAAGACATCATTGCAGAAGTTTTTGAAAAAATTAAATTTAATTCAACAGTTTTCATTGAGCTTTTTAGGCAGGCAAAATCAAAATATGACTCACTAGAAATGTTCAAATACCTTCGAGAGTGCAATGTTAATATTGAGTCATTTGATGATGCAATTCAAATTCTTGAAAATTATGAAAAACTACTCGGGCTAAAATCTTCGCATGCTTTAATTTCATATTTCAAGAAATTCAAGGATGAACAGAATCTTGAATTAAAAAGAGAAATTCAAAAATCACTAGAAGCATTACAAATCAAAAATAAAGAATATGAAAATAAAATCAAAGAAAATAATGAAGAAATTTTACTTCTTAATAATCAGAACAATCAGTATAAGGATGAGATCACAAGAATTACAAATATAAATGATCAATTTACTCAATCTATGAACAATTTTGAAAAGATTTATGAATTAAATAAAACGGGGGAATATGATACAATTTATACCTTCCTTAAAAAGCTATCAAGTAAAAATGGTCAGCTTAAAATGTCTGTCTCATGTGCTATTGGTTTAAGTGAAAGGAGCAGAAATAATAATTATCCACTCATTCAAGCATGTATCAGAGGAGATCTTCAATTAGTAAAATCGCTTATTGAAGGAGGATGTAAAAAGGAAGTAACTAATAAATATGGGAATAATTGTTTGATTGAAGCGTCATATAAAGGACAACTTGAAATTATAAAATATTTAATTGGTACTGGTTTTAATAAGGACTGGCAAAATCAAATTTCTGGTGTTAATGCAATACTTGCATCATCCAAGCATGGCCATATTGAATCTTTTAAATATTTGCAAGATATTGGCTGTGATGTGAATTCTAAAAATAAAAATAATATCAATTGTATTTACAATGCTTCAAGTGAAGGACATCTTGAATTTGTTAAATATCTTTTTTCTTGCAGAGTGAATCCAAATGAAAAAGACAAAGATGGATTTTCATCATTAATTATTGCATCAAAAAATGGTCATCTTGATGTAGTAAAATATCTAATTGATTGTGGATGTGATAAAAATGCTAAAACATACAATAATGATTCTTCTCTACATTGTGCAGCAAAAGAAGGACATTTCGAAGTTGTTCAATATTTAGTTACAATTGGTGTCAATCTTAATGATAGAAATAACTATGGTAAAACTCCATTTGATTTTGCAAATGAAAAACAGAACCAGAATAATAACTATAAAAGAATTGCGGATCTTCTGCTTCATGCAAAACAAAAATATGACGTTTTAACATATTTATGAACTAGTATTCAGAGATAATTTATTCTATAAGAATGAATTTTAGATGAATTAAAAATAAATGATAAATTCAAGTAAAAATATTTAAATTTTTATTAACAAATTCTCTATAGTATAATTATTATGTTTAAATACCGCAGTATATATTTGTTCTTAGTAGTAGGATATGACGGGTTTAGTGACTTTTTTTGTTACATCTATATATAGACGATGCATTAAAATATATTTATTTATAAATCATTAAAAAAAATTAACATTAATTAAAAAATAATTTATTTTTTTATCTTTTATAAAAGAAGCTATATATAGATGATGACAGATATTCCGCGATTAATTAAACATTGTTTAAATCCTGAATGGGTTAAACTTCAATTTAAAAATGAAGATTGTGAATTATTAAATGAATATGAAAGCCAAAATAAGCTAATGAGGTATAAATATAATGATAAAGAATATTTAATTTCATGGAATCAATGGAGTCATAATCAAAGACCTCATAAACGAGAAGAAGAAATTGAAAATAATGAAATGGAAAATAAAAAATAAACTTTAAAAATTCATGTCTTACATTTTTGAATAATTTATTTTTAATTCGTAAGAAAATGAGTGTCAAAACTAACGATGTTAGATATTCAGGATTCACAAATGAGGAAATAAAGGATATATTAGAGGAGGCAGGTTATGAAGTTAATAAATATTATTTAAGAAATTGTCAAAAATTCGCAGAGTTTTTAAATGAATTTGATTATGATGGAAAAATGAATAAAGATGATGTTATAAATTTCTTATATCCCACATCTAAAGAAAAAGAAAAACCTAAAGAACCTAATGTTTTCCCTGAATATTATGAAGAACGAATTAAAGATGATGAATATGATGAAATTGAAATTGAAAGACTGAAAAAAATAAGAGATGAAATAAATGAAAAAATTAAGGAATTAAGAGAAGTTGAAAAATATAATGAGAATGAAGTAGAGGGTTTAATGAATATCCCAGCTTCAGAATCAGAAGTTCAAAAATCACATGAGGAAAGATATAAAAATTACTTTTTGGAATCAACTAAAAATTTATTAGATGGTGATATTGACGAAACACTTTCAGAAGAAGGCACAAAATTTATTCATAAACATAAGCTTCAGTTTATTGACGATGGAGATTATCCATGTATATTACTTTCACCCCCTCTTGATTCTGAAAAATTCAAAAAAGCACTGAAAAATGTAACATATGCAACAAATACGATTAAGAAAGAAGACCATGATATTTACACAAATTATTATTTAAATAAATGTACAGGTGTTGATAAAGTTTTTGATTTGTTAGATAAAATATCAAAAGAAACAATTGGTACATATAAAATTTTATGTGATTGTGGTTTCATTGTTGAAGATACCGTTGATGTTTCATATGAAAGAACAGCTCCGAAGGAGGACGAAGTGGAAAGATCTATTCCATTCGTTATTAAGAACATAAAAGATATGAAAACCTATAAACATTATATTTATTCATTCATTTCAGAAAAAATGGAAGCAATACATAAATCATCTCGTCATCATTTCATAGCTATTCACACATTCCTTTTCAAAGTTGTGAAATTAAATAAGACAGGAATTAGATTTAATGTATCAGGTTACGCATTCTTGAGTAAATTAAAATGTATTCGTCACGTTGCAGATGATAAAAATTTGTGTGTTCTTAATTCATTTTATGGACTTTAGCCCTGGACTCTCTGAGTCTCGGACTTTAAAAAAAAATAAACTTTATTTTTATATTCTAATTTTTTATTCTTACATAAATGAACAAAAACGGAACAGCTAAAATGAATGATAATCAAATAAGAGCCGAAGGTAGAAGGTTATTTAAACACTTCTATAACATTCCTGATGGTGTTAATCCTAAAACTCGTAGAAGTTATTTAAATGAAGCCATAGATGCATATGAAGGATTTGACATTTCATCAGAAAGTGAGAGGTTAGCAAGAATGTTAAACGTTAATATTGATTTCTATTATTGTGACCCTCAACCAGAAGACGTAGACATTAACAAGGTTGACTTTCCATTAGTGGAAACAATAATGATAGATCCAGAATTTGAAACAGTAAATATTTTATTAACACAGAGTCCATGTGGAAAACTTCACGCTGACAGAATAACAGACGTTGAAGCACTCACAGGATATAAAGTTTGCCCCTTTTGCAAAGAAGAAGTATATTCTATCCGTGATGATCCAGAAAGGAAAAACCAAAGAAGATTTTTAAAACATTGTGAGAAATGTAAAGAAAATAATGGAAGATTAATTCAAGACGTTCAATTGCAAAACACACAACAACCATATACACCACATATCACGAAACAGAAGATATATCAATGGCTATTAGCACATAATTTGCAGGAATATTATAAACCAACAAGATATTATATTACTTTTGACTTCGAAACATTAGAGACTAAAGAAGAACTTCAACTTTCTGAGTGTGCAACTTTGAACGCTTACTTAAAACCATTTATGGTATCATCAACTGTTAAAATAAACGATAAAACATTTACGAGGAATTTTTGCTTAACATCAAGTGATTCGTTCATCTCTGATTGGATTGAATTTTTATTTTCAACCTGTTCATTAGTTGCTAAATCAAATATTGAACAATATGAAGAATTATTGAAGTCCCATACATTAAATGAGAAACAGAAGGAAGCAATGAAAGAGTTTTTAGATGAAGAATTTAATAAAGTGAATATCATTGGTTTTAATTCGGGAAAGTTTGATTTAAATTTAATTCTTCGTGATTTAAACACTGCAAAATGGAAGATAAAATCAATGCTGGGTTCTTCTTCTCAATTTAAGCAAGTCATAGTAAAGAAAACAAACTGTCCATATGAATTGAGATTTATTGACATCAGAAATTATATAGCGGGTGGGACATTAGACCAATTCACTCAAGATTTCGGAAACAATAAATCACGTGTTAAATCCTTTTTCCCTTATCAATTCATCACATGGGAGAATTATGAAGAAGAATTATATAAAAAGGAACCATTCACTCAAGATTCATTTTATTCAGCATTAACACAAGAAACAATATCCGATTCAGATTATCAAATATATCTCAATGATGCTAAAAATTTTAAGAATAGATTAGAATATTTTATTCATTATTGTAATAAAGACGTTGAAATTATGATTGACCCAATTGATAAAATTATTGAAGAAACATTTGTTTATAAAATTGACATGCTTCATAATCTTTCATTATCATCTAATGCATCAATGATTCGTTACGCGTTAGCATATAAGAACTTCAATCCTAACGAAACATATCCAGAAGAAGAAAATGTGGAATCAAGTTTTGAATTAACGAAAAAGTATTGGAAATATAAAATTGAATCATATAAGAAACAAGATGAAAAAGCAGAAAGAGATACTAAAAATAATGTTTCAATGGATGATTTTCAATACTATCACGATTTAATCCTTTCATCTAAATGCAAAATGTGTGGTAAAGCGTTTACATATGCAAATAAACCAACATTAGATAGAATCGATAATGAAAAACCACATACCAAAGAAAATTGTCAGTTAATGTGTTGTTATTGCAATGTTGTAAAATCAAACAAAGATGAAGATGTTCAACGTTTAAGAATCAATTTAAGAAATTACACATTAAAAAATAATTTACCAATGACTTTAGATTCAGTTGAAGCTTATCACATTCTCCGTAATGGAATTACTGGTGGTTTATCAAATGTTCAACATAGAGTAAATCTTAAAGGAATCACGCACATTAATAAACTTTCATATAATCCAGAAACTAAAACAGTATCAAATGAGGACACTTCCAACATCATGACTCATTTCGTTGGTGTTGATTTCAATTCATTATATCCTTCATCATTTTCATCTAATCCTCATGATTTCATTCAATATACTGACCATAAAATGTATATGCCGGGAAGATTAAATGGAGTTATCATTTGTGATACAGCAACAAAGAAAGCAAAAGCACTGGGAATTATTAAGAAGAAAAATACTTTATTCGTGGCTGAAGTAAAGGGTCACATTGATGAAAAATACATTAATGATTACATTAACTTTTTACCGATAATAAGAAACTTAGATATTATCACAGATGAAAAAACAATTGGCAGTTTTATGTATAATTACATGAAATCAAACAATCTACCAGTTGACCAGAAACAGAGGAAATTAACTCAATTAACATCAACACACAATCAATATCAACCATTTTCTTCTTATTATCTTTGGTATCTAATAGACAGATTTCATTTTATCATCGATGATATTCAATCAATTTTAACATTTACGAAAAATACTTGTTTTAATGAATTTGCGAACAAATTTATGAACGAAAGACAAAAGGCTGAATTAGAAGGAAATAAAGGAAAAAGTTTATTTTGCAAAATTTCACTTAATGGATCATATGGTTACGATGCAATGAATACACAAAATTACGCAAAGACTAAAATAATGAATGCACAGAAGGCACGCGTTGCATGTATGTCAAATAAGTTTAAAAACATAAGAGAAATAGGTGAAGATACATATCAAGTGATGCTCAAAGATAGATTTTATAGATGCGAAACATGTTTACAAGAGGCATTTTTTACTTTAGATAACGCAAAATACTGGTATTTAGTTTTCATTTATGATTTTATGTATAAATGCATGGATGTTAATCGTTTTCATTTCATTGAAGGTGATACTGATTCATCTTATTGGGCAATCGCTGGCGACCCAAATCTTCCTAACACTCAAGCATTTCAAGCAATTGTTACCGATAAACAATTTTATGATAAAAACATTTTCAAATTCGCACCATTTGATTTCTTCTGTTTTGATGAGAAATTTAAACCTAAATTAAAGAATAAAGCTGAAGAAAAAGCACATGAGAAAAAATTATTAGGTTTAGCAATTGAGAAACAAGGTGATAACATGGTTGCTTTATGTCCTAAATGTTATACATCATTCAACGGAATGATTGGTGAAGACTCCTTCAAAAAGATTGCACAAAAAATGAAAGGTATTAGTTTACGACAAAATAAGCAATTAACACCTAAAAATTATTTGGATATAATAAATGATAAAGTGATATTTGATGGTCAGAATATTAATTTACAACTTAAAAATGGGTCAATGACTCGCTTAACAATCGGTAAGACTGCATTAACAGGAGCACACACTAAAGCTGTATGTTGTGAAAATGGATGTTGTATGCCATTTATTTAATGAATCGCCACAGAAGAGACAAAGAGGTGAGCACCCCTAAAACATTTATTTTATTTTTATATAAATGGATAACACAGATTTAAAAATTTTAATTGATGATTTAGTATTTAATCAAAATTTTCTTAATTATTATGAATTAAAATCATATCTCCAAAAACATAATAAAAATATAACGGGTGATGATATGGAATATTATTATCCATATTATAAAAATGAAATTTTGAAATATCATGATAAAATAATTTCTGAAATTAAAGACAAAATTAAAAATAATGAATATACAAAGGGAAAAACTAAATCACAACTTAAACAGTTGAAAGATTTCAAAAATAAAGTATTAACAGAAGAAGATATTGATGAATTATATAAATTATATAATCCTGAGCCGCAAAAGCCAAAGGAACAAAAACAAAAGGTGCAAAACGCCCAGGTCCTTCAGACCATAAATGAAGCACAAGCTTTAATTTATGATTCATTAGTTAAACCATATTCAGCCCGACTTTTAAATGAAGATCAACTTTTGGAATTCATCCTTCAACATAAACTCGAAGCGGGAAAGTATATCAAACCTTTATATACAGCATATTTAAAACAAATGAATAGAATACATCCAGAATTAATGAAGGGAGGAATGAAATCCAAAATCAAAGCAGATAAAATTAAACCACTTGCAACACCAAAACCTCCTTCAGTTAATCCTTCATCATTCACTTTATTATATCCATTTCAAACATTAAAGAAGCAAAAAGATTTTAAAAAGGATTTCAAGATATTAAATAAACCAATTGACCCGAAAATTCAACCATTAAAAGAAAAATTTAGTCGCCCTTCATTTGCTCCTTCACCTTATTCATACGAAATCGATCATCTGGAATATTCAAAAGGAAATATTACTTATTTATTTGCCATTAACATTAACACTAGATATTTATATTGCATTCCGGTGAAAGGGAAAACAGAACAGGAAACAAGAAGAGCTATTCAATACTTACTAGATCATGAAAGAGTAGATAATATCAGGGGTGATGGTGATAAAGGATTTCAGGCGGCTATGACTCATTATTTCCCACAAATTAATTTTTACTTTTCATCCTCTCCATATACGTTTCATAATAAAATAGTTGATGCGGTAATGAGAACTCTTAGAGATGTGTTAGGGGTTAACGGTCAGATATACTGGGATGGAAATCATGACTCCATCATACAGCAGTTAGTATATTATTACAATAATACATGGCATAGAACTATTAACATGAAACCGATGGAAATGAAAAATGATATTTCAAAAGAATGGGAATATATTAGAAAGCAAATGGAAAGGTTGAATGATGTTAAACGTGAACAAATTAATTCGGGGCTCATGAATTTTAAACAAGGGGATAAAGTTTTGATTCATCTCGATTATGGAAAAACTGATAAATCAATGACAAAAAGAAGACGAAGATTTGACACAATAGCTGAATTTGTTAGATATATTAACGGCAATGCATTAGTTGAGGTTAACAAGAAATTAATAGAAATTCCGATTTATTTTATTACTCCATTATATTTAAATAATATTTAAATTTTTTTATTTCGTAAGAAATGAGTGACAACAAAGCAGCCAAGAGTCCAGACAATGAATATAAAAAGAAACTAAACAGAATTAAATCAAAAATATGCTATTACAAAAAGAAGCCACAATGCGGTGGGGTTGAAAACGATAAAGAAATAATCGAAAAATTAGAAACTTACCGTTCAATCCTTAAACTAGGTGAAGCAAAAATAAAAGAATTTAATAGAATAAATAAATTGATTGGAAGAGATGAATTTAATAAAGATGAATTTTTAAACTCTATCCAAATTTAATTTTTATTCCTCTTCGACAACATCTCTCTTTCCATCATTACTGCATAACCACATTTTCTCAGTTTTAGTGGTTTGTTATTTTTAACATGTTCTTGCATCATTTTTATCATTTCCTCCCTTGTTATGATTCGTGGTAAATTTTGAGCTTGTGGGGTATTCATTTATATAAAAATAAAAATTTGTTATCAGTTATTTTATCGTTAAGTGACTCAAAGAGTCCGGAGACAAAGTCTCATGGTTTTTAGGTTCATCTTTAGTTAATTATTTTTGAATAACTGAAGGTGTCACTATGTCACCATGTGTCACTCGGTTATTTAACTTCTCTGAAAAAATGAGACAACAGTCACTGTGTGACGAGACCTGAAGGTCTTGACATTTTGACAACATGGGGGGGATTAATGAGGAAGGCACTTATGAAGCATTTTTGAATAACTGAAGGTGTCACTATGTCACCATGTGTCACTCGGTTATTTAACTTCTCTGAAAAAATGAGACAACATGACATTTTGACAACATGGGGGGGATTAATGAGGAAGGCAAAAATAAATTCCAATCATACTTTATAAAGCTAGACCTTCAGGTCTCGCCGCTTAGCGGCTCATTTACAAGTATTTCATCATCAGTAAAATGAATCCTCATCATCGTTTGGTTCAACCTGTTTATATAATCCTTTCATTTCTTCTTTCAAAACATAACACCATGTTTGTTTACCATCTATTCTTCTCTGTTTCTTATCACATTTATCTTTAATGCTCATTTGAAAGTTTTTGTCTTTCATGTCTGATGGTTTGCAGAATAGAGCATTTTTACACGTCATACCTGCACACAATTCATCATAATGTGTATTTATCCATACATCTAAAGGATTTGATGATAATTCTATTAAATCTTGTTTGGCTTCAGTCATCGGAATGATTCGTACATTAAATGATGAAAGGTCATATTGCATAAAATACGTCAGTAAATTATCATAAAATTCCTTTGTGCATGAATCCATTAAATTCTTGAAGTAATCAAATTGACCCTTAAATTTACCATTAACCCTTAAAACTACGTATCTTCTGTCTCCAACTTCAATTTTGACAGGGTAGACGTTATTAGTTACGAAAATAAAATTGGCAACATTCTGTGCTGTTCTTCTAGGTTGATTCTTTTCATTAATTCTAATCTCATTATCCGTTATAATTGATTTCAAAGCGTTGAAGTTTGCGAGTCTATCTTCACCTACATTCTTGAGTTCATTAAGTACAAGAAACATTTTATTCTCAACTACTGAGTTGAAATTACCCGTTAGCTCACCTATTTCAGTAATGTTTTTGATTGAAGAACCAGCGAGAAGTTCAGAAATAATGTCTGTGAATCTGTTTTTACCTGTTCCCTGAAGTCCTTTCAAAATAATTGCTGTTTCATTCTTGATTCCAGGATGTTGAATCATTGATGCAATCCACCCGAGAAGGTATTTATACACTTCATCGTTATTATCACAAATGGCTTCTTTAATGAAATCCATAAACATCTCAATTTTTGAGTAATCTGGCTTTTCAAGAATGTTGTATTTATAACCTTGAAACGTTGAGAAAACATCAGGGGAATCAGATTTAAAGCAAACACCCTTAACGGTTAATGAAGACAATTGATTTAATAGTACGTCCCATGCTGTTATGGTTTTACCTTCTTCTTTAAATAATTTAATCATTTTGAGTGACTCTTTCATGTTTGATTGAAGAACGAATGATATTTGATTCATTTTGTCGTGGATATTATAGTCCTTTTGAATGAAATATTTGTTTCCACAATCTACAAAACGGATTACACGTGATAAATCCTCAATTACTTCAGAACTGTTTTTATACTGATGATTTTCAGCCTTACGTCTAATATCTGTTATCAAAAACGAGTCATCAAGTTTTATATCAAATGTTATTTTTGGCTTACGTAATAAAGGTAAAACATATTCATCATAATATTCCTTTTGATAAAGTTTCAGAATCTTCACTAAAACAAATGGAGAAGTCATTAAATGTGCATATCTACTACGTGCTTTTTCAAAATTACTTTTTGCATTTTCTGTTAAACTGCAGAAGTTATAAACGTTGTCGTATGCTTCATTAATTAAATGATTAGGTAACGAATTAATTGCTTGAAACAGTGTGAATAATGTTATTTCTTTTTCTAAATTCATGTTTCCACCATCATTATGTACTTCAAAATCACTAATACCATCAAATATGCTCTGGGCAAGTTTATCGTCAATGTTTACATCTTTGTTTTCATTCATGATAGTCTTTATTTCTTCGTTCTTTTGTTCAACTCTTACCTTAATATTCAAATCATTTAATATATCATTCACTGTTCTGGTTATGGTCGAGTCATAACTTCCACGAATGAATGAGTATGTATTGATTGGTTCTGTTGCATTCTTGCGAACTCTTGAATCAGCCATAACTACTAAAGAACGCTTTGAATCATCCATAGAAGTCATGATATCAATATCATAATCATTGCAAGAATAACATTTAATCATTCTGTTCGAGGTTGAATAGAAGAAATTAGTGTTACAATAAATGTGAAGACCTCCTGAAGCGGTTTTAACGATAACATCTTTATCCGAAAGTTTTGATAAAATGTCTTTTCTAACTGTTTCTTTAAGTTCATCATTGTACGATTTATTGATATCAACATCTATAATCGTTAAATTTGAAATTTTATTTACTAATAAAGCCATACCAGTTTTCCTTCCTCTTCCTCCATCGTGTTTGAGGTAGTTATGTAAATCAATCTTGTTTTCACCAATTCTTTCGTTGAGGGTTTTAGTTTCTGCCACAACTAATTCCTCAGCTAATGAATCAATAACTTTTTCATCAGAAACGATATAGTTGCTGTTGTTGTTTGTTGCTGTCATTTATATAGGAATAAAAAAAATAAAAATAATTTTAAAACTAACTTTATTTTTGGACTGCATCATATTTCCAGTGATGTTGTCAAAATGTCATGTTGTCTCATTTTTTCAGAGAAGTTAAATAACCGAGTGACACATGGTGACATAGTGACACCTTCAGTTCTTCAAAAATAATTAATTATTGAATAACTGGGAAATAAATTTACGTCAAATATGTAATTTATAATATCTTATGTCGACAGGCTACGTAGCACAGTGGTCTAAGGTGGTGTTATGGGGGGTCAGGGTCTGTGGTTCGAACCGCGACAGCGCTGTATTTTCTCAGCTGAAATCAATGATTTTTTCATTTTTGGAATCCTTAGCGAATGAGGAATCTTTTCTCTCGTGGAAGCTTTGACCAAAAATAAATTTAGGGTAGATGGTTAGATCTAACCTCATTTCTACCCTCATTTCTACTCTCATTATTTATAAACGTTTTACATGGTAAACGTTATGAATTCGTGAGATTCTAAACAATTTCGTAGCTTCTATTTCTTCTTTTAATACATCGAATGTTTTAACAATGCCGAAGGTTTCTTTATACTTCTTCTTGACGTCAGATAAAAGGAAATCTTCTGCTGTTGGATAGTTTTTATTAAGAAATGTCAACATATCCATTTTATCTTCTGCTGGCTTTTCTGCTTCTTTCTTTAAGTCTGCATAGTCGTTTCGCATTCTTTCTATCTCTTTGACTGAGTAGTTATATTTTCTTATTGCTGCTTTACATTTTGAACATTGCGGATTCATTTTTGCGTTATACATTGAAACATTACCAGCTAAAATAACTAAAGCGTCAATTGCTCTCTTCATCTCAAACATAGCGGGTCTTATCTGTTCATTCCATACTTTACCTCTTCTATCTTTATCTCTTATCTGCCATACACATTTTGCAACTAATGAAACAAAGTTATCGTATGTCTTAAATTCTTCGGATTTGTAAAGGTCAGAAATATTTTTATAAACCATGTCGCAATCTTTGTCCATAACTTTATGGTTGCAATGAAAACCAAGGAATTCATAATTTACTTTACGTATGAATTTCTTAATTTCTACTGAGTCAGTTGCTTTGACTTCAATTTCGTCGAATTCAGAATAGTTAGTTTTTGCTGCTGAATTTCAGGTAGTTTAGGCAAATGTTCGATGAGGTCCTCCATTTCATAAAGATACTGTTCATTTGTTTCATCTTTCGCACTACAGTCTAAATTACTTGTTAAAAGTTCTTGCTTTATCTTCTGGATTTCTGTTTCAAAAGTATATGAAGAAGGAATGAAGCTTTTCATCTCTACCAACATTGACGTAGGATTCATGACTAGCGAGTTTGGTGCTGTAGTTGTGGCTTGAATAGTTGTTGTGCCGATTGTTGAAATCATATCTTTTATACAAAATAAATAAATAAAAATAATTTTAAAACTAATTTTATTTTTTCTATCTTAAGGAAATTCATGAAAATTCACGAGAAAGCTAAAGCAATCTGAGCCGCTAAGCGGCGAGGTTAGAAATGAGGTTAGAAATCGGGTTAGATCTAACCATCTACCCTAAACATTATTTTTGGTGAATTCAATAAAAATAAATGGTTCATTTACTCACAATATTTTTGTACAAAACGACCCCAAACTTTTAACTTCTTTTCTGCAGTTCATCCATTACTTCATTACCTAATTAATTACAAACATAAAATATATTTAGTTCATTCGGTAAGCCCAGACCTTTGGGTCAAGCACATTCAATGAACTCTATACCATGCGAATACAGTCATGTAAGGTGGCATGTAGTCTTTACTTTGTCCCGTTGTTTGTGTATATCCTGAAACGAAATGTGTATGGTTTCCTTCTCCCTGAGTGTCACTCCAGTAACAATTTATAGCAAACTTAACGTCGTCTTTAACATCATATCCTTTACCTTTTGTCATTCCTGACCAATCCCAATATCTATGCTTATGCCAACCTGCTTGAGATGTACTTAAATCTATGTAGTGACTGTGTGCAGGTAAATTTTCGCCTGAAATCGTTTTACTTCCACCTGTTTCCTTTGAAGAGTTTGCACAATACAAAAACCTGTCGACTATTTGTTCCCATGCACCAACACCAAACATTACTTGAGGACCTCTCACATCCATAGATGTATAAATAGAACCTACTGGGTTCATTAAATCAAACATATGAGATATTATAGGATTGTCTCTTTTGAACTTAAAATATAGTGCAACTATTTCAGGTTTCTTCTGGTTTGTGTCAGAATATTTTTTATAATATAATCTTATGTTTTCAGGGTAGGTAAAATCTTGACTATAATATTTATTTCTGTCATCTGTATAATAATATACTATTCTCGTTTTTCTATTGCATTATATCTTTTATATCTATAATAATCTAAATATAATGTTAGCTTTTGTTCATCTACATGTGGTGTTCTGTCGTCATCTCCATAGTCATAATAATATGGTGCTGGAGCTGGGTCAGGCAATGTCATATCTGCCATTTCATAAACTCTTAAATATTTCTTTTGTTCGTCTCCATATAAGTTTAAGTAGCAGTTGTTGTCTAATGGAGCTTTAACTTGTGTACCATCATTCTTTTTATAGCTTACATACATTTCATTGTTATTTTTCGGAATGAGTTTATACCGTATACCATTTTTTAAGGAGTGTACAAACTCCCATCTAAAATATTTGTTTTCTTCATTGACAGTAAAGTCACCAACAATAGTTTCAATATTTTTTGTTGTTCCTATCAAACTTTGGTATATTTCGTTAACATATTCCTTATCCGCTTTCTTCTCTAACTCATCGTTAACATATGTTTTATCTGCTTTCTTCATTAACTCATCGTTAACATATGTTTTATCTGCTTTAAGGTCTAAACATCCTGAAACCCATCCTGTATCGGCTTTAGTTTTTAAAATCTTTGATGTCCATTCATGATACCATTCAACTCTTTCTTTAATTTCATTATCTTTTTCGTTAACATATTCCTTATCCGCTTTCTTCACTAACGCAGCAGCAACACATTCCTTATCTGCTTTCTTCATTATGTCATTTAGGAAACCTTTTATGAATTCCTCATTTAAATTAAATCTTCCAATCTTCAAAACTTTAGGAAATGCATTTAATGCGTAATATCTCTGTTCTTCTGGTGGAATTGATGTTATATCATCCGTTATTCCTTTAATTTTTGAATTCATAAATAAAATTTCTTTTATATTTGATATCACTGCACCACCTTTGCAAACGAATTCGAAATGGTCATTTTTCAATACTATCTCCAAATCTCCATATTTCAACCTTTGTGTTTGTTCTGCCGTCTTTGAATTATATGCATATGTGGCGTATGTAATGGTTTGTGCCTTAAGTTGTTGTGGTTGCTGTTGTTTAATCATTTATTATGATTTAAAAATAAATATTTAATCCGTTATCTCATCAGCTATTTTCTCTATTTGAAAAGTCCATAATATTTCATTCATAAATTCTAAATCACAATCAAATAGGTCAGTTATTCTAAATTTAATATTTGATAAATCTTTTGAATGAAGAATAAATGAATTCCCGGATAATTGAAATGGATAAGATAAAGAAAATATGTTTAAGTTGATGGATAAAATGTTTTGTATTGATGGGTAAGAGTTAGGGTCTAATGTTTGATGTGAAAATCTCATTGGGGTATTAACTTTATCACATTTGATTAAAATGAAATTGGACCCAGTGTCAGAATACAAAACATCCCCAACATCTTTTTCAAAATTTAATATCCCCAACAATGAACGAAGACGAGGAGTACAAAATTTAATTTTCAGCGGAAATTTAATAAGGTTATTTATTTCATCAAGTTCAAAAAGTTTATCAGGTTTTGATTTAAAATTTTCTTCATACCATACGATAAATGATTCATTTAAATAACTTAAAATCATGTTAATATCCCATTTCACTATCACATTATTTATATACATATCATATGTTTTTTCAAGGTCATCTTTAATAAATGATATATAATCCGAAGGGTCTAAAAGAATGGGATTAAATTTACCACTCACAGAAACGAGAGTAACATTATAAATTCCGCTAACTGTTAAATTTAATTCACAGTTATTATTCGAAATAATATTGATAATTGACATTTTTATTACGATTAAAAATATGGTAAAGCGTTATTTTCCAGTGATAAATAAAACTAGAATAAGATTACCTCAAGAATTCATAAATTCAACGAATAAGAAATTCATTCATGTTATAAATTTTAGTGTTTTCAGAAAATATGAGTCGATGTCATATTCATCAACAGGTTATATTTCACTTCATTCAAATTTGGTTCAATCAAACCCATATAATGACCATTTCATAAGATTTTCAGATGGTATTAAAAATGTAATTGATAGATTAAAATATGAACAGATTGACAATATCGAATTTTTGGAATTTTGGTTTAAATATCCTGATGGAAAAAAGATTGAAGTTAAAGATAAAGCAGATACTATAACAAAAACAATTACAATGACTGATCCGGATAGTGGGGAACAAAAAGAAATAAAACAAACGATAGAAACTGGTGAAAGGTCAATTATTATTGATTATGATTCAAAGGATTATTATTCGATAATGTTAATGCTTGAATATTAAATAGCCTTAACAAAGAATTTTTCAAGTGATATTTTATATTCATCAACTATTTTATTATAAATATCATTATATGTTAAATGAAGTTCAGTTGTTGTTCCGTTCTTTGATATCTTAATTGTGCTAATATCCTTTATAGGATTTATTTTTGCAACTGTTCCGCAGCATGAAACCTCATCATCTATGAAATATTGAATCTTCACGTCTGAATCTTGAACATCACAAAGAATGGCAATAATGTGAATTAATGATTCATAAGGTAAAATAATTAAACCGGATTGGTCAATTAAATTTATTATTGAATCATAATTATCAGTTATGATATCGCGATATATTTTCATTAATTCTGAATTAATGTCTACTTTATATGGCGCATTGCGACTGGAATCGTAGATTCCTGGGTTATCAAGTGGTGGGGGGTATGTTGGATAAGTGGGAATTTCAACAGGTTCTTTACCGGGTTCAGATAAAATGATTGGGTCTCCATCTTCTTTATTTTGCTCCTCTCTTTCTTTAAGTCACGAGTTAATAAATTTGGTTGAGTTGCTGACCTTGTTAATTCAGGACTAACATTAACTTTAACATTTTGAATAATTCGTGATTTATCATCATTTACGTTATAACCAACCGTAATCTCTGCTTTTGCGTTAGTGTTCTTTTGACTAGTGAAACGTCTTCTCATTTATAATTGAATAAAAAAAGAAAAATATATTTAAAGTTTTATTTAGTTGTTACGGTAATATCCCAAGGTTCATCATTGTTTGCTTATACTTTCTTTGTAACTGCACCAATTATGTTATTGATATTGATTTGAGTTTCTTCCAGTCTTATTTTATCATTTACAATATCTTTAATCATTTCATTACATGCATTCTTAAAACCATCTGATTTTTCTAATTTACGTCTATCACTTTCTTTAATTAAATCAAAGTTATATCCTTGTTGAGAATAAAGTGGTTTCTTTATCAATTCCTTGAACGCTTCTGAAAGTGAAGATGAAGAAATTCTTGCCACTTGAATTGGTTTAAATTCTGCTTTCATTGCTTCTTTCTGTTCATTGAACACTGGATCGAATAAAGCAACTTTAAAGAATTTCTTAGCTGGAATTTCAGGTCTCAAATTTGCATATTGACCATCAAACTGGTTAACATATTGAGGTAATCCGTTTGGTCCTTTTCAATAGCATTTAATTCTTCATTGAAATAAGAATATGGATTATGACGGTATGAAAGAATTGGTCCATCTTTACTGTCTCCGATATGTTTGTTTAACAGCTTTTCCATTTTCATCAAATTGCATAGGATAACGTTCATTATATGCTTTACGTTTAGGATAATCCGTCATTGTTAATTTATACCCATTTGACTTTAATATTTCCTTGACCATCAGTAACAAAGACTTCATTTATACCATCAGGTTTTCCATTGGACCCGTAATGTCTGCTTCATGTGCTTCCCAATTTGGTCCATGACGTTTGGCATATGCTTGAGCTTCTGGTAATGTTAAAACGTTTCTCATTTGTTTAACATCCTTTTGAAGACCGGCAACAATGTGGACTAATTCTTTCATTCCATCTGGAACTTTCATAGTTCTATTATATGCACCCTTTTTGTTTGTTCCTTGTTTTAATGGAACCTGTAGAAGATTTGCAATTTCTTCATGTTTAATTATAAATAAAAAATAAAAATTAATTATAAAAAGTTATTCGAATTTAATGAACCTTTATTTAAATCAACTATTATTTTTCCATGTTCTCCTAATTGTTGATATTGTGTGTAAAGTTCATTAATGCTCATTGGTAAATTCACTTGATAAAGCATAACGTTCAACTGTTGACGACTAAACCTGAAAATGAAAAGGGTGGACAGGTTGATTTAATGTTTGTGCTTAATGCTTTAAAGTATTGAACAGCCATGAAGAATGAACACTGAATATGTCGACATTGAGTTAATAATTGATTAAAATATGATTTCTCATTAGTTATTAGTTTTGATTTCACTGCATCATCTAGAAAAAATGTGAATGCAAAAATTCTTTATCAAAATTTGAAATAGAAAGTGTTTCAAATAATTCATCCCGTTGTTTATCAATAATTTTATCCTCTAATCCTTGCTTCTTGATTGTATTATATAATTCTTTATACATTAAAAAGTTTTTCAAATAATCTTCGCTTCTTCTTGTGATAAATAAATAATTGGAATTTTGATTAAATGCTTTAATGATTCAAATGTATCATCTGAAGGTGAACCTGAACGGTTGATATAAATTAACACATGTGAATAGGGGAAGTGTTAGCAATAATGATAATTTGTTTTAATATCGTTAATGTTTTACCTTTATTTTGTTTACCAATTGCTGCAGTGATTGAATTTAAGTAACATTCAGAATATGGAATTTTCATTAATTTTTCCTTAGATAGAGCATTTTATTATCACCCAATGCTTCATTAATCATATCATCTATGTATGTATTATATACTCCTGCTAATTCTTCAGAATTTAAATCCATTTAATCAAAAATAATTTATAATTTTAAACATTTCTATTCAATCAATATTTCATCATATGAACTTCTATACTGTGGTGGTGTACCTGTTGAATGATATTTCAAACCTTCATCCGGTGTCCATGTCCAATACGTAGTCCTAGTAAACCAAACCTGAGGAGGATTTGTCACCTTTGAACAGTAAGTGTCATTTACACCCTGAATGATTGGATAAGCTTTCACTTGTACTGTAACTTGTGAGTTGAAAGTTTCTAATCCATCAAAGAATATACCCGCTCCATCACGTTGAACTGGAATAGTGCATAAGAATGAAGTTTGGTCTTTCCATGTTCTAGCTAATGGCGTGCCATCATCTGCATTCAGTGGTCTAGTTAATGAGTCCTCGTATTCTTCCGTGCATTCATTCACTCCATCTAAATCAGAAGCTTGAAGCATACGTGTAAAGAATATGTCACCCACTGTTGTCATCGCTTGATCGGGGAAGTTTCTGGAATCTATAGTGACCTGAAGACCTCGAAGCATTGGATTTTCTAAAACTGTTCTTTGCATTGCATTCTTCGGAAATGCTAACACAATATCCGTAACATTATGCAGAGCGTATGAGAAATCAGAGCTGATACCTTCAGGAGTGATGCAACCTCCATTTAGTGAGCGAACGTCAATATGTTGAGCTGGAATCATGAATGGATCTTCCTTACTGAATAAACGTGGTATTGCTTTAACTGATTCTTCAATTAAACCATATCCTGGTGTAATACATTTATCCTCTAAAACTTCCATCTTTGTGCATGAAATAATAACGTCTTCAACTGTTGCGTCAGCAGATGTAGCGGCTAAGCTTGTAATTAATTTGGCAGGAAGTCCGATTTGTTGGAATTTGCGATCATATTTATAAACATGATTCATAATCTTTTCATAATTTTCATCAGTTATCTTTTCATAAACGTAATTTTGTAAATCAGCAACTCTTAACGGGTCAACCTGCAAAATACCAAAGTATCCCTGAAAACATAATATTTAAGAATGATATCACCAAATGATTTAGGATAATCGTCGAACGCCTGAAATGCTAACAAATCGTTTACTGGAATAATCATATCAAAAGTGATATCAACTTCTTCATTTGCTTTCTTGAAAACTTCTGAAGGGTCAATATATTTACCACATACTGAGTTATCATATTTTTGGACATTGTTATATAATGAATGAACAAACTTTTTAACTTTCCTTTCTGATTTTGGTTTATATGTTGCAAATGCAAAAGATTCACGGGCACAATCCATCTGAAGATAACCGGCATCACCTCTTTCGGTTTCTACTTCTAATTGCTTAAAGTTTTGATTTGATGATTTTAACCAACGAATAAACGCATGCATTTAAAAGCGGCATCACATGTGAAAGCTTTATTTGAAACTAGTTGCTTTAACTTTGCGTTTAATATATGTGTCACCTAATTGGTTCACATCATGAGCCGGATTTGTAATTCTTAAATGAGTTTGTTTATCATCAAAATATGGAGCATCAGAGTCATAGCATGAACTTTCAAGTTCTCTATAATATCTTCTACCGTCATTCTTTGCGAATATTTCATTTATCTTTTCGAATGAATGAAATACATTTCCATTAATCGGTTTAGTGTTTGGCACCAAATAGTTAGTCGTCATTTATGATGAAATAAAAAATCAAAATTAAAAGATGAAAATGAATTTTTAATTTTAATGAAATAATCAACTATGGCTGCAGGATTCTTTAAAAAATTATGGGATAAAGTAAAAAGAGGAGCGCATAAAGTTTGGGAAACAATGAAGAAGGGAGCAAATTGGATATTTAAGAATAAAGAAGCAATTAGTGACGTTGCGAACAAATAGCACCTAATGTTCCGGTAAGAGAAGTTTTAAATAAGGAGAAAAGTTTATCAAAGACTACAACCGATATTGAGATAAAAATAATATTTATTTTTCCACTACTTTCCTCCTATTTTATTAAGTATTCCTTCAGCAATTCCACCAACTGCGTTACCTGCTTGTGCTCCCATCGCTGGATTACCTGCTTTAGTACCTAATACTCCACCAATTATAGTTCCTGCCGTTTTCGCTACTGGTGCCAAAAAGTTTGCAATGGGTTTTATTATTTTCTGATGAACCCAACTTGCTGCTTTCTTAATTCCTTCCCATAACTTTTTAAAGAATCCTGCCGCCATTTCTGATTTAATATTAATTAAAAAAATATATTTCATCACTTATATTCTAATTTTTATTTAATGATAAATGAAACCGATTTTAAAAATAAATGAAACAGAGAAGGAAGAAATAAATGAAAGTGAAGATGTTCAAAATAAAATAAACATTGTTAAACCCATTACTGAAACAAAAATTTTTTCATCTGTTGAAGAATTTAATGACTATTATGCTAATAATAAAAAATTATTTGAAGAATTGACAACATGTAAATTGAATAAAATGTTTAAAGTTGATGGATTCAAAATTTCAAAAATAAAAGGTGTTGTTAGTTTGAAATCTATTCCTCAATCAAGAATCACCTCATTAATGAAAATTGATGATTTAACAAAAAGAATAGAAATTATTGAAGAAAGAATGAATCAAATAATTGATTTCATAAATTCAAATAATCATTAGTTTCTTAAAGTTCAATGTTGAACTCATCAAATTCTTCTTCATCATTACCATTACCTTTACCTTTAGCGCGTTTATTTACTCTTTCAACTTTATCTTTTGATAGTCTATCGTTTAATTTTTTCTGAAGTTTTTCGTTACCAAGTTCTAAAATTTTACACGGATGATATTTAAACCCGTTAAATTCTTTTTCCTCAGTTTTAATCATTAATCTACAAAGAACTTTAGTGAGGTGGTCTTGTTGTTTAAACCATTTATCCTTAATATTTGTTATAAATTCAATATCCGGAATTAATTCCCAAATTTTTGAATTTTCGATTAATTTACCATCAAATGCAAAAGCAATAGGTTTAATATTAAACTTACCTTTATAAAATAAACTTTCTATGTAATCATCAAAATAAACGTCTACTTGTTTAACCTGGGTGAGAATTGGTGAAAGTTTATCCATTAATTGATTCACAGTCACGAATTTTGATTCACTCATTTCTTACGAATTAAAAAAATAAATTATTCAAAAATGTAAGACATGAATTTTTAAAGTTTATTTAAAAAAAATTATTTTTTTATTTCATTATGGTAGTTTATTTTTTATTCATGAAAATAATTATTTCTAATTTCTTTTACTCTCTCGTACATACTAGATTTGAAGAATTCAGAACATTTCCCATAATCTCCTAAATGTTTTCTTATCCCTAACGTGTGCCAGTTATTATATGAAACTGTATAAACTTTATCTTTATCTTTACACCTTTCATCACTTCCAATATATTTATATCTCAGTTTTGATTTAGCATTTTCATATTCATTAACGTTTAATAATTCACAGTCTTCCTTTTTAAATAAATGTTTAAGATATTCAGGATTTAATACTCTACGTTTATATGCTCCTAACTTAGTTCTAAAGGTTTTTCTACAAAATTTAGGAATTCCATCCTCTTTAATGTCATCAATGATTTCCATTTCATTATTTTCAATTTCTTCTTCTCGTTTATGAGGTCTTTGATTATGACTCCATTGATTCCATGAAATTAAATATTCTTTATCATTATATTTATACCTCATTAGCTTATTTTGGCTTTCATATTCATTTAATAATTCACAATCTTCATTTTTAAATTGAAGTTTAACCCATTCAGGATTTAAACAATGTTTAATTAATCGCGGAATATCTGTCATCATCTATATATAGCTTCTTTTATAAAAGATAAAAAAATAAATTATTTTTTAATTAATGTTAATTTTTTTTAATGATTTATAAATAAATATATTTTAATGCATCGTCTATATATAGATGTAACAAAAAAAGTCACTAAACCCGTCATATCCTACTACTGTTCTTGAAATTTATTATTGATCCTGAAACATCATAAAAAATTAAGGACAAGTTAACTGATACCACTACTGCACATTTTGGCTTAATAATTACTTTCTAGGAAATTTAATATATTGAATAATCATTGTTTTAGATGCGTATTAAGCCTGTACATCCTTAACATACGCGAGACTTATCTTTTCGAATCATTTAATACAGTAACAATCAGTTTGTTTTTGGTGGATGCAAAAAACTTTTTTTTATAAAATTTTGGAGAAAATCAATGTCTTTACTCAATGAATTTACAATCAAATTCCTTAATGATACGATTAATATGAACTACATGGCAGGTACTGCAGATTTTCCTTCTGAGGGTCTCTTATTGAACTTCACAGATAATTCAAAATATTATCCAAACCACTTTGTATATAATGATTCAAACACATTGTATGTTATCACAAGGTATTCACTTTCAGATGAAGATTGGCAAACAGATATTGATTTTCATGAAGTTGACGTCACATTCGGTAATACAACGCTAAAAGTCCATCGAGGAGCGTATTATTCAGCTCAACACGTATACCAAAATACAAAGAAATTCATGCAACAACATAATGGAAGAATCATCATTACCGGATTTAGTCTTGGCGCGTGTGTTTCGAGTATTATGACACCGATGGCACTTACAGATCCAGATCTAGCTGGCAAAAATATTGTTACTATTGCTCTAGACGGAGCTCCAGTGATGTCATATCTTCCTCCTGAATATACTTCAAAGACATTCCATTTCATTAACAATGTTGATTTGATTACAACCATTTCAGGACAAAATTTATATGATACATACAGAGAATCAATTGAAGCAAAGAATTTCAAAGAAAAACTTATTGCCGATGTGAAAGCCATTAAAATGGAATCCGTATTCTTCCAAACTATGTATGATTTATTAATGAATAACATAGATTCTCTAACAGAATCAATGTATTCTTATCATCAGGATAAAAATAAGCTAAATCTAAGATATATGTGGGGTACAGTCTTACATATCAAGAAAGGAGTTCATTACAACTTCTTAAATGAAACAGTAATTAATAATACAGAAATAAATCGAGTAAACGTTTATGAAGCGGCCATAAACGACCATTCTCTTTGGAGTTTGCAAGTAAGGCTATTAAGAATTGGTGATTCATCTATTTCTAGAATGATATCGTTTAAACTAAGCATCTTCATCATAATTTGCTCAATTGTTGTAATAGCATTGATTGCATTGGCAGTGATTGCAATCTATTCATGCTCCAAGATGAAGAAGATGCAGAAAGATCAACAATTGTATTCAAAACTTAGTTCTTCATTTGAACACTAATAATTTAATTTTTTAAGTTATTTTAAATAAAGAGTTGATTTTAGTATATATACGATAGTTGAATTTTTCAATGCAAGTCTATTTTGCTATATGAAAATATATTTTTGATTAATATTTAGATTTATATGGTTTGAAAATGAACACACCTAAGGATGTCAATTTGGAAGAAAAGTGAGAAAATTCCTAAAATGCTAAAAATGAATTTTCCAAACGCACTTTTTTATCTCATTTTTTTGATTTTGAAAAAAATTTGGAGAGAAGAACTCTTCGTTTTTGAATTTTGTCACGATGGTTTTAAAGTATATTAGACACATGTATTGATATTACTATTTTTGTATATTTTGAGAGAAAATCCCTAAAAAGTGAGAAAATCCGAGACGGTTTGAGAAAATATATAAACTATTGAAAATTTGAATTAAACTTCTAATTTGGAAAAAAGAAATTTGGAAAGAAGAAAATTCAAAAATCGAGATTTAGACTCAGTATCAAATGGAGAACAAAATGTTTCTTCATATGAAGGAAAAATTTTCTTGAGAAGAAATAGAGTTTTTAAAATTTTATTGTATGTAATGAAATAAACAAATATTAAAATTATTTTTTGATAACAAGAAAATTCCCAACAGAAAATATTTGAGACAAAGAAAAAAAGAAAATTGAAAATATTACTCTCCTTTACATTTCATGAGATTTTCAATTTATTTTCATAAAATTGACAATTTTATACGTTTAGATGAAAATAAGTGATTTTGCCTGAAATAAAAATTATTGTTTGTTTACAGCTATCAAATAGATTTTTGCTATTTTGATTAAAATTTGTTAATCAAATTAATAATTTTTTTTCTAAATATCTTAATATCTGGATCACATGATATACGATGAATTAAACGATAAAATAATACAAACTCAACTCAGTTTCCTGTCTTTCAACCAAAAAATATTATGCAATTTAAATTAAATTGTTTATTCAAAGATAAACAAAGATAAAGTAATTATAATTATCATATACTTTATGAATAACTCTCTAATTGGATAAGATTTTCGTACAATATTTTTATTAATATCGATAAGAATATGTTTACCTACTATCACCATATGTCGATAAACGAGAGTAGAGTGATTTTTATCATCGAAACTTTTTAAAAGCTGTAAGCAGGAAGTAATAATCTTGTTTTTTCTGAGTTAGTTGTAGAACTATTGATGCCCGAGTTATCATTGTGATGCAGAAGGATATCAATGTACTGACTGAAGGATATGAATTGAATTGAATTTTATTGAATTTCAATTTGATCAAAATTTGTTGAAATGATATGAATGTGTCAACTTCTGTATCATTCTCCTTCACTCCTTCCTTATTCTTTCGAGAACGAAGCTAGCTCAGCTTTCGCTGAGCGAATTGACACTTTTGATGCCCTAAACGTACATACTCTCAAATTTATCGAAAAAATTAATACCACCTAAACTAGTATATTCTTATTTTAAATATGATATTATCCTTATATTCCACACTAAAATTCATTTAAATCAACTTTTAAAAAAGTTCGAATCCTGCGCGTCTCACTTTTTAGATTTTCCAAATGGAAAATTATATTCTCCTAAAGTGAAAACAATTTTCCAAATTGACTTCCTTAACACACCAGCATCAAATTAGTAGAATAACCTAATTCTATGCTTTACAATGGTAAGTTAGCAAAAAAGATTTGAACGACAAAAAGTGGCAATAAAATATTGAATCAGTAAAATATTATTATTTTGATGATGATATTTTAATATTTGTTTTTGAGAATTATCAAAATTGAAATTGTAGGCCGATAAAAAGTGACTATCTTACATTTTACACTATAAAGAAATATCCTTAAAAACAGCCAACATACGATAATTTGAAATAAATTCGAACAAATCAGAAATTGAAAACTTTTGCGTTAATTTTACAAAAAATGAGCGAGTCAGGCTCTGAAAGGGGAGAATCTATTTCATATGGAAGTAGTGATAACAAGGAAGATAAAGTAGAGAAAGTAGCTGAAACAGTTGAAAGCATTATTAATCCAAAGAAAGAATCATCATCAGATGATGAACTTCATTCAGATAAGAAATCGGACAAGCACTCTAAATCACACAGTAATAGTGACTATTCTGACGAAATAGTTATCCAAACACCACATAGAGCAGAAAATAACAGTTCAAATGAACTAAAAGACAAAACACCACCGACATCACCTAAATCTCCATTCAAATTAAAGACATTTAAATACAAAAATGGCAATAGGAAGTATCTATTCCGCGATGATGACGATGATGTCAAAGAAAAGCCAAATCCAGGCGAGAAACAAGATAAAAAGTCTCGCCCATGGTTTGATGATTCAGAAAAAGCAGAAGGTATTGACTCACTTACCTCAAAAACATCAAAAACGAGTAAAAAGAAGAAATCTAAAAGCAAGTTCTTGAATTTCGAGTCAGATTCGGACTCAGAGCATGAAGTTGTGATAGGAAAATCTCTAAAACGAGCAAACAAAGCCGAACAACTTAAATTAGATAATAAATACTTAAATACCGAAGCAGATAGCGATTCTGATGATCTTAAGTCAACAAAAACGCGAGATGCAGATCTAAACCAAGAAAACCAGCAGCCTACAAAGGTTACAAAGAAAGCTACAAGTAAATTCTTAGTTTTATCTTCAGATGATGAAAATACGAACGAAAATGAAAGAAAACCTGTTGAAGAATTAGTTTTACCAAAGCATAAAGCTCAACCAAAGCCAAAAAGACCGAAACAAAAATCTGATCCACGTTTACAGCTAATGATCGAAGTTAACACGAAAGTTGATGAAAACAATGCTAAGAGAATGACCGGAGAAGAAGAAAAATTAAGAATGGAGCAAGAAACAACGAAATCTGAGTCAATTTCTTTGTCAACAAGGAAATCGACCAATCAAGCAAAGAAAATTGTTAAATCAAGGAACATTGATTCAAATATTAGTCATGGATCTCCAATGGACAAGAAATTTTTGAAGATTAAAAATTCTGATTCTTCTTCATCGGATATTGAAGAAGAATCACTTAACACACCCATAAGATCCTTCAAAACAGACCCAGCTGCAAGCCGTTTGAATAAATATAACATCGAGAAGAGTGAAGCTTCTGTACACGAATGAATTGTTATTGATTAGTCTAATTTATATTAAATAAACGTTATTATTGTTTCTTTTTGAATTTCCTTTCAATTATTTTTTCAATTCAAATTAAACATGAAATCATATTCTCAACTTTTGAAAGACAGACAAATGTATAATTTCAGGTCTAATGGTGCACTTAGGCCTTTATGAAACGATATTTTAATTATGCTGTTTAATTTGCTTTTCGTCGATAAAATTTGAGCCATACGATAATTTGATTTACAAGAAAATTCAATAAGCTTTTTCAATAATTTATAGTCATTTAAGATTCAATGAAAATCAATAATTTGCAAGAAAATGATATGTTTTCATTGTGAAAGCACGAATCCATTAATATATTAAAATCGATAGCATTTTGTTTATATAATCTGACGATATTTGTTATTTGGTCGAATTCGAAATTATCGAAAATAAAGTCATAAAAAATAAAAATATTGTCGTAAACAGAAATTCATCAAAAGTGACACCTCAGAAAAGCTAAAATATTGAATTTTTGGAACTGTTGATAGAGCACGTTTTTAAATATTAATTAAAGTAAATGTATATTTTGTAAAGATTCTTTTTAATAAAAAAATAAAATTTTGAAGAAGAACACAAAATCTTCTGAAAAATAATATCACATAAACTCATATTATTTTCTAATATATAACTATTTTATATAAAAATCAAATTCAATGATCTTAAAAGCGAAGGATAAACCTCAAAATTTACGAATATAATGAGTGGGAATATAATGCTTATCTATCATAAAACCATATGAAATATCAATTTTTGCTTTACGCCTAATTTTTGACGACAATTAGCAAAAAATGTTAAATGTTAACACTCAGTCCATTTGAATATGAAAAATAAAATTGACTTTGATTAAATGTTTTTATTTATCATGCAATTCTTCTTGCGACCAAAGATTTGAATAAAAGTTCAAAAAAAAAGATAGCTTAAAAAATAATATACGGTAGTGTTTACTAATAGATGAATAGTATATAAATTCTATTAAAATGGATTTGATCCAAAAAAATATAAAACCAAAAATAATTGTTATAATTTAAGGGTGCCCTATAGACGATAAACCACCCTCAGAAAAGCACTTTTAAGGCTATTATATTGAGAACTAGAATCGGGATAATCCATTCATTCGAGTTCTAATAAGGTTAATTTTATGATGTTTACATTATCGTTATAGGGCACCCTTAAATGAAGAAGTAATTTAAAACGATTTTATTTATGATCAAATTTTATATATTTTTTGGATCAAATCCATTTTAATAGAATTTATATACTATTCATCTATTAGTAAACACTACCGTATATTATTTTTTAAGCTATCTTATTTTTTGAACTTTTATTCAAATCTTTGGTCGCAAGAAGAATTGCATGATAAATAAAAACATTTAATCAAAGTCAATTTTATTTTTCATATTCAAATGGACTGAGTGTTAACATTTAACATTTTTTGCTAATTGTCGTCAAAAATTAGGCGTAAAGCAAAAATTGATATTTCATATGGTTTTATGATAGATAAGCATTATATTCCCACTCATTATATTCGTAAATTTTGAGGTTTATCCTTCGCTTTTAAGATCATTGAATTTGATTTTTATATAAAATAGTTATATATTAGAAAATAATATGAGTTTATGTGATATTATTTTTCAGAAGATTTCATTCTATATGCCTATGAAAAGTACTCTCAAAACTAACTTTTTCCTAATTATAATTAAATCTAGAATATTGTATTATGCTTAGTATTATTTCATTTTTCTCATTCAATTTCGAATTTACAAATGTCAAAAAATTGAGAGCTGTCACTTTTGATGAATTTCTGTTTATTACAATATAATATCAATTAACTATGTATAGATTGCTAATCCAAAATATATTTATATAATTCATTGTCGCGAAGTGCCGATATTTTTGATGAAAATCTGCACGTTTTAAAATTGTTTTGAAAAATGTCTGGTGAAGAAGAAAGTGCTGCAGTTCCAGCGGGAGTTCAGGAAAACAACGAAAATGTTCCTCAAGAACCAACAGAATATAGTTGCAAAGTTGTTCTTATTGGTGACAACGGAGTTGGAAAAACATCTTTAGCACTTTATTTCAAGAATAATGAACCTCCAAACGGAGAACTTCCAATCATTACACCAAATTTCCAAAAGGATGTGAATCTACAAGATAAAAATGCTGTTGTTCACATTGTTATTTGGGATTCAGCCTGTGGTGATGATGACAAAGAAATCAGAGTTAAATCATATCACGATACAGACGTATTTGTCATGTGTATGAGCCTTCACAACTCAGATTCAATGACAAATCTTATTAAAGTCTGGGCAAAAGAACTATACACTTATGACAAGAAGCCAAACATAGTTATATGTGGAACTCACTTTGATTCGATGAATATTGATCCGATTCAAATCCAAACAATCACGCAAAACATTCCGCACAACTTTTACATAGAAACATCAGCAAGAAGTGGTGTCGGTATCGAAGAACTCTTCAAAGTTATCGCAGAAATTAAAGTTGATCCAGAATCACATCCAATTCACGTTACAGAAAACAATCCAGTGAGCAAGAAGAAGAAATCTGAATGCTGCTTATTGATATAGATATTATTTTTATTATTTCTTTATTTCATAAACTATTTGTAAAACTCATGAAATTATCCAAATAACATTGACTATTTATTTTCATTTAGGAATTGTTTTTAACCACAATCAAGAATACATATAAATTCAATTGAATATTCTAATTTTTTTTTAATATAAGTCATTTGCTTATGGGTACAGTCGGATATTCGTGATCTACTTTCAACGTCCAAATTTATAATCAAATTATTCATATCATATCAAAACATAAGAATAATTTTGTTGTTTATTGCATTCGACTTCATAGGTAAATAAAGCATATATAAGGAATGATATGCTTTGATAAAATTAGATCAAGTTAAAACAATATACAAGTTATACATAACTAAATCTCTCGCTCAATATTTAATGTTTAGCTAACATTTCAGATCTTCAGATTTATTTCGAATTTAAAAAACAAATAAAGAATATTTTTAATTTAATTTTTTTTTTTAATTTTCGGAATTTTTCTTCCATGAAATAAGTATTTCCTTATTAAGTGGAGATGCTGTGATCAATCCTATCTCATACAGTGTTTTATCTGAAAGACCAACTAAATCTAAGTTAACTCCATTGTTTAAGAAGAATAAAACAACTTCTGGTATTGTCCTATTATCACAGATAACATGTGAGAAGAGATGAACTGAATTACAGCATGAATTTATTGAAATTCCTGCATCAATTAATAATTTAAAGCATTCAACTGACTTAATGTCATCTAGATTAGTTACATAAAACGCAGCATTATTTCCATATGCATCCAATGCTTTTACATCTGTTTTTTCGATATTTTCAAGAATAAATTGAATCATTTCTGGATTTCCTGTCTTTGCTGCTAAATGGAGTAATGAATTCTTTTCAGAGAGTGAAGGTATATCTATAAAGCGACGTTTCAGGAGCAAATTAAACATTTCAATATTATTTTTTTGAATTGCTAAACGAACTATGTTTGCTTCTTCAGTTGAATTAAACAACAGCTTAATTGGAAGTCTGAATAAAGATTTTAAGATTTCTATTGAATTTGTCTTAATTACAGATTTTATTAAGTTTGGATTAAGGGATTTCTTCGTATAATTGATGTTACTTTCTAAGTGATTTATAATGATGTTGATGAAATTCTGTTTTCGAAGATTTATTGCATTTTGAAGGGAAACTTCAATTTCTTCAAAAGAAAATGACAAATTTTCTAGAAGGAACTGAAAAACCGTTGTATCTGGAAGAGATGTAGATAAATAGAGAGGTGAATTCTTTAAGAGTTTTGGTTTAATCTCAGGAATCTTATAATGCGCAATTTTGCAGAGATAATGAACGCATTCTAATGAATTTCCGAGAGTGGCATAATGTATTGGTTCGAATCCACTTGATGTATTCACATATTGTAATTTATAATTTTCAATTAAATATTTGAGACACTCAAATGCATTATAATATGCAGCTAAATGAGCTTCTGATAAGTTTTTGGTATCAAATGGTCCGTTTTTAATTGGAGAATCAGGTATAGAAAGTCCGTGAAATCTAATTGCATGTGTTTCGTGATATTGAATCAAACTATCAACGTCATTTTCCTTAATTATCTGAGCAACTCTATTTGGATCAAATTGTATGCGCATCTCTTTCTTTTTAAAGCCAGATCTGCCAACACTCATCATTTAATCAATTTTATATAAAGGAGGCAAAATTTTTTAGAAACAAAATATAAAATATAGTTGTTGACTTGAAGCATCAGTATGTGGATAACTTGAAAATGTAAAATTCATTTCAAGTTGCATCATAATACGGTTATCTTGAAGAAAGCTTAAGTAATTTGTATCTTTATCATTATAAGATTCCATCTTGTCTTTAATTCTATTATGAACATAAAATATCCTTGCTTAATTTCTCTAATTTCACAAAATTTGTTCTAATCAAACTTCCATTTCCCTATCTTCTATAAAAATATGCGTCTGGATGAAAATCTTATACATAAACTTAATGGATCCGAAGCTCTTCATATTGCCACAATATATAATAATCCAGAAATAGCCGAACTTGCTATTTCACATGGTGCAGATATCGAAGAAAAAGATGATATTGAATGAAAACCTCTTCATCTTGCAGCATATTGCAATAGTCCGGAAATAGCCGAAATTGTTATTTCACATGGTGAAACTATATATATGGAAAAGATTTATTTGGAACAACTGCTCTTCATTATGCAGCACGTCATAATAATAAGGAAATAGTCGAGCTTCTTCTTTCACATTGTGCAGATATCAATGGGGAAAAAATGAAGATGGATGTTCAGCTCTTCATAATGCAGCGCGTCATAATAGTAAAGAAGCAGTTGGTCATCTTCTTTCATAATTTGCAAATATCGAAGAAAAAGATGAATTTGGATGCACGGCTCTTCAATATACAACAAAATATAAAAAACAAAGAAATCACCAAAATCCCTTCAAAAAATCTTAATTATTGTATGAGGTTTAAGAGCGCACTTACACCTATTTGACACCCTTTCTTGTGTTTTTCCAGAATTACCATCTAGAGTGAGTCAAAGGAGCTGAAATTCTGATGTTAGATCATACACACTCAATAAATTTATTTGCCTGTGATGTAATCGAATTTGGAGTAAGTTCCATCCGAAAATGAGTTAAAACTTGTTACTCTATTCGTATCTCATCTGTAAAAATGAGAGTATGGCAACGGGATGTAAGTGTAACTTTGAATAATTTATAAAAAAGAAATCAAAGTTGTGTCTGTTTAAGACACATATGAAACATGTGGTAAAACAATTGATGAAATATAATAATAAACATGAATAACATTTAAAATAATAAACAAAAAAAAATATTAATGAGAGGATAAAACAGAATCAGCGCTAACTCTATGCCTTCTGTATTGTATAGCACCTGGCGGTATATTTCCATTCTTATTCATAGGAATTCCTACAACAACTGATCTTTGGTGTTGTCCTTGCTGCCCTGTCAAAGATCCTGATCTCTTTCGACCGCTAGCAGGTGGCTTGACAACAGAAGTAGGCACAAGAGGTGGTAGAGACTGTTTTCGAGTAGATTGGTAGTCAGATATTTTAGAATTGCTGTATTTCACGAGAAATGGATGGTTAAGAATGGAATCTATCGATAAAAGGTCATCTGGATTAACTACTAGTATGTTTTCTATAAGATCTTTGCATTTCGAAGATACGAAATCGGGAATTTGGAATTTACAGTCAACAATCTCTTTCATCATCTGATTTATGTTAGTAACATGCCATGGATAATTTCCTGTGATCATGATAAACAAAATTACACCAAGCGACCAAATATCGCTTTTACGTCCGTCATATGGTTTGTGGTAGAGACATTCAGGTGCAGCGTAGCATGGAGATGTACAAAACGAATCCATCAGTTTCCTTTCACCTATGAAACCACTCAATCCGAAGTTTGAAATACGAATATGGTCGTCTTTATCTAGTAATATACTTTCGAGATTGAGATTTCTGTGTGCAATTCCTTGTGAATGACAAAATTTTATCCCTTTAGCGATTTGTGAGAACATTTCTGCAGCTTTCTCTTCATCAATCTTGACGTTTTGTGATATATAGCTCATGAGATCACCGCCTGGGCAATAATCTGAAATAAGATAGAAGCAATTAATGTCATCAAAAATTTCGTAGAGACTTGTAATAAATTCGTGTCGTAGTATTGACATAACATGTATTTCTTTCTTAAGTTGATTCATGTCATCAACTTGAGTTGTATTTGCCTTTGAAATTACTTTCATTGCGAAAATTATGTTGTTTGAAAGATTCCTGACTTTATACACCATGGAAAACGCTCCAGATCCAACTTTTTCTTGTATCTGATAGTTTCCAATAATAGTATTTGGGGGTATTTCGATTCCGAGTAAGAGCGCCATTGAATTTGAATATAAAATTGCTCGGAAAAATTAAATAATGACGATAGAAAAGTTCGCAGATTTTTTTCCTAACCTCTCATTTGAAAAATTAATTTGTATAACGCAAAAATTTTGGATAATTTAGAATATTATTTCATATATCAACTATACTAATAGATTCCATAGTTTTGAAAATGAATACTTTTGAAAAATCAAAATTGAGAACTTCTAAGATTTTAGAGACTCCTATGTTGATTTTTGCAATAACTATTTTTAAATAAATTAATTTTAGATAATCTAATCTCATAGAAATAACCGTCAATCGATCGGTTATTTGTCAGAAATTTTGCAATAATTTACGCAAAAAAGAAATTCAGTTTCTTCGATTGTCACATAATTTGACGTGAAAACTCTGAAATCTTTGTCAAATTTTAAGTTTTGAAGGAGTAGTTCGTATTGCACAATATATTAATTGTTTTTTGAAAATCGTAACATGATGAAATACCCAACTGGATAAAAATATTCCCAAGGCCTTGCTAAGACATAAAAACTTTCTTTTTTATAAATCGAATATTGAAAAAAAAAAAAAAAAAAAAAAAAAAAAAAAGGTAGTGGGGCTTCCAGGCACTTCGTGCCTTCTAGCCCTGAAGATGTTTAGTATAAATGAAGTTCTTATATACGGGTCTTCCAGGAGCTTTTCACAAATTATATATGTTTTCATGTTTTGTCAAGACTTCTTCGTAAAATCAGACAAAAATAATGTTTAGGGTAGAAGGTTAGATATAACCTCTTTTCTAACCTCTTTTCTACCCTCTTGAATTTTCAAGACTTCTTCGTACATGTTTTGTCACTTTTCTGTCACTTTTCAGGGAAAAAACATTTTTATTAAATATAAAATGAATTTTACAAAACCACCGTTACCCTTCTTTGGAAATAAGAGTAGATGTAAAGATATTCTATTGAGAGAACTTAAGAAACTACCGAATGGTCTAACATTTGTAGACTTGTTCGGTGGAAGTTTCTATATATCTCATTTGCCATACAATATTTCCTGACTCAAAGATTATGCATGACTTCGACAACTATATGGACGTCTCAAACATATTCCAGACACAAACAATATATTGAAAGCGTTAAAAGAAAAGATACCTATAGGTAAGATGGAACGTATACCATTAGATAAGAAAAATATTGTGAGAGAGGTTTTGAAAAAAGCAGAATATATAGACTGGGATAGTATATCTGCTAGACTATATATAGTGGTGCTATAAAGTTCATGACATTGAAACACTTATGTCAAAAGTTTTATATCTTAACTATACAAATGTTTTCAAAGAGGACATAGAAAAAATATATTGAGGGTATAGAGTTTGTGAGATGTCATTGGACAGAGTTGTATGAAAAATATAAAACAAGGAAAATGTTTTCTTTATAGTGGACCCACCGTTCTATAACACATGGGATTTTCAATACCAAGTAGACTGGACTTTGAGAGACTCTTTAGAAACTTTAGACGTTTTACATAACCATCCATGCTTTTACTTTACATCCGATAAAAGTGGTTTGGAAAGTGTCATGAGATGGTTAGAGGACATACATGACTATGAGTTTAGATACGATAAGATAGAATATGAGAGAGGTCCTATAAACTGGAGAAAGTGTCATAACAAAGAAATTTTACTAGTAAGTAAATGTGGTTTGAAATAGGACTACTTGTTTTAGGTTTTTTCCATTGTGTCATTTACTTATTTGACGTGGCAGAAAGATATAGAGAATATGAAGATGAACCAATGCCTGCAAATGTTCAGTATATGTACTCGTAAGAGATATTTTTATCTAATATTAAATGGACGCACAGAACTTAGCGAATGCACAGCAACCTGGACAACCAAACCCAGAGAATATTCCAAATGAAGTTAGAATACAAACTGCAATGGCAAACTATGGTCAAGTGCCAACAGATGTACAAATGCAAACTGCCATGTCAAATGACGCTGCGTTAGGTTTGCCACCATGGTATGCAAATATGAGATGGAAAGAGTTTTATACAAACCCTGAAGTGGGATATAAACAACTTTATGCAGATGACGCGAACACAGGAGTTGACCCAGAATATGTTTTCTACCAGAGGAGAAACAGAATGTATGAGCTCCAGTTAAAGAATGCTATGGAACTCAACAGGAAACGTAAGAGACTAGGCGGACATTAGATTTTTACATATAGTAAAATGGGTTTCTTTGGAAGAATAGGAAACTTCTTTCGAAATGTTGGAAGAGGTATATGGAATGGAATAAAATCTGTCGGAAAAGGAATTTGGAACGGAGTCAAAAATATTGGTAAAAGAGTAGGTCAGTTTGTTGGTATTATACCTAAAGACCCTGAACCAGAAGAACAAGCTCCTGTTATACAACAGCCTGAACCTGCACCACAGTCTAGTTGGCAACCAAATCCAACACCTCAACCGTATTAAAAAATTATATTTTTATCGTTCGATAGTAGTTGTATATGAAACTAAGTTCTAAGTAAAACGCATGGTATAATGGAATTATTCTTTTTCTTCCATCTGTAGTAAACCATACTTGAAAGTCTGAAATACTTCCACTTGGTGGTTCGTATAACTTTGTAGGTTTTTCGTAAAAGTCATTTGCCAAGCATAAGAAAGAGTTTTGGGCGCCAGAAAATGAAGCATGAACAATAATAGCAGCTGGGTCGAAAACATCTTTAAATAAATATGGTTCATCTCTTGCATATCGACTGTAAATATTTGCTAAAGGAAGTTCGACTTTCTGATTTAACATTCTTTGCAAATAATACCATGACATTGCAGTGAATTCTGTATATATTTGTTCGTCTTTCTTTGGATTGTCTTCGTAGATTTGAAATGACACTTGTGAATTTTGTTTGTCATATACAATTCTCACATAAAGTGTGCTCTCGGTATTTGCATATTCATCAGCATATTTTGCATAACATGAATTTATTTTATCTTCTATATTTTTTAACGCAGTCTGTAGAGAAGATGAAAGGTCAACTTGTATTAGCTCAATTTCTTCCCACATTTTTCGTTTCCCTTCAGATATATAATCTATATGAAACCTTACAATAAATGGAAAACTTTTATCTTCTACAGACACAAACTTCATTCTACGAAAGCCAATAGCTTTTGTGACAGATGGGTCTCTTAGCCATCTAAGTGGGTAGTCAAAACGATAGCCTTCATGCTTTACGGTCTCTGTCTCAAACTTTTGACCGACATTCGTAAAAAGTTCATCTAATGGTTTAGTTGTAGCAACTCTTGAATTTTCTTTTTCTATTGGAAGCATATTTTATCTAGAATAAAAATGTCGAAAGAAACAGCGTCTATGAGAGAAATACAACACAACCGACAACTCATTATGCAAGCTCTAAATAAGAACACAACAAACTTTTCAAACTATTCTAAGATATCTGAGTCATTGAAAGAAGGAAACTTAAAACTGACGATAAACCCAATGACAGACGAGTTTCTGTTTCAAGACAGTAAGAACCATACTGTTTGTATAAATCCAACAAAAAGAACTTTAAACGAGAAACCTATAGATGAACTTCTTTTGAAGGCAGATATTGACAACAAAGCTGACAAAGAGTATGTCATTGAAAAAGTTCAAGAAGAACATGACAGAGCAGATGCAACATATGCAACGAAAGAACATACTCATCCTGAACTAGCAGATAAAACATATGTTGACAATAAAATGTCAAGTGAAGTGACAAGAGCTGACAAAGAATATTCTAAAAAGACTCATACACATACCATTGCAAATATTACAAACTTACAAGAAACCTTAAACAGGAAAAGTGACGTTGGACATACACACGATTTCTTCGCAACTGTTGGTATAGAAAATATTGCAGGAACGGTTGAAGAACCTGATGGAACTGGTGGGGATGTATTAAATTGGAAACCTCCTAACTTTCCACAAGGTTTAACATCGGAGGATGACATAACAACGATGAAAGACATTAAATGTAGAAATGTCTATGTCATGGAGGATGAAAACAAAGTTAAATTCACTGCTCAAGATTTATATGATAAAAAAGCTGACAAAACATATGTTAACGATGAGTTAGATAAAAAAGCTGACAAAACATATGTTAACGATGAGTTAGATAAAAAAGCTGACAAAACAGAGCTTCAAACGTTAAAGACAGAAATACTTCAAACACTATATCCTATAGGCTCTATTTATACGTCAATGAACTCTACCAGACCAGAAGTAGTACTTGGTTTTGGAACTTGGACTCAAATAGTCGACAGGTTTTTGTATTGTGCAAACTCTTCAAAGGAAACAGGTGGAAGTAAAACGATTTCAGGTGCAAATTTACCTGCGCACAGTCACTACATAAATTTAAGTACATCTGAAGCAGGTTTGCATAGTCATAGATTTTGGGATTGGTCAGGAATGACAAAAGGTAAAGGATATGATGTTAAAGAGGACGTTAAGTTTGCTATAAATTGTTACTGGAGTAACACTGAGGTAGGAGGAAGCCATACACATCGCGTTTCAGGGTATACGCAAACAACGGGACAGAGTAAAGACTACATGCCACCTTACATGACAGTTTACGCATGGTATAGAAATGCTTAGTCGTCATTTTCAACTTCTTTAGCATATTCGTCAGGAGTTGTCTTATATTTGTTAGGAACTGTCTTTGAAAGTATACCACCTTGAACTTTGACAAGTTTGAAACGAGGTCTGACAATAGTAGTTTTATCTTCTGCTTGCAGTGTGTACATTTTGCCATGTTTGCCTAAAACTTCATAATATTCTCTTGTATACTTTCTTCTATTTTTACGAACACGAATGCGAGTACCTGTCGAGTTCCCATTGTTGTCATAGTCAATAGTATTTTCATATGGTCGCGTTTAGGTATTTCTATTTTTACTTTGTCACCTTTCTTAAGTTTGAAGCCTGGCATTCTTTCTTGTTTGTCTCTTTTGACTAAACTATTAAATATATAGTCTTTCTCTAAGTCGGGGT